GCTCATTGAGGCAAACACAGTGAAGGTCCCCTGCGAACAGAAGGGCGCCAGATCTGTGCCAGAAGGAGACATATAGTGGCTTAAATGTTATAGGCAACGAACATTGAGATCCAAGAGTGAACAAAAAAGTGAAACAACAATTTCACAGCGTGGCCTCCCGAAACCTTGACACCTTCGCATCGATTTAAATTCAACCAGTGGCGTTTGAGTCCACTTGCGGCAAGGACGAAGCGCCGTAGCGCATTCTCATTGAAGCCACCAAGCCGCCGGTTCTTGCAGGGCTCCTTAAAAGATCTACATGTTGCAACCGTTTGAAACACGGCTTTTTCCACCAAGATAAAGGGAAGCCACCATTTACAAGTTGCAATGTTCAGGTGTATAATGTAAGGATCCCTGTATTTTGGCACCTGAGAGAAAATATAAATATATATATATATATAACAAAAAAACAACATGTCACGACTCGCTGGATGCCAGGCCCCGGGCCGCGTTCATGTTAGGTGTCTTGTTTTTCTCTGGGGGGCATCAAGTTATAGGTGACAAGGATATATTGGTGCCATCTTGATGGGTGTTGGTTGTTCTAGGTTTTTCTCTGGGGGTCATCTTGATTGAAGTTTATATTGGAGCCGAGCCTCAACGACAAACCTTGTCACCTATCTGCCGACTTCGACTCCAAGTCGCTTCCAGCTGTTAGGCGAAAAATGTCCCCCCCCTCCGTTTTGGGATGCGTGAAGACACACCCATATACGGGGGTTGATCAACATTCCTGGCCCCCAAACAGCCATGGGTAACTTGTCACATTTGGTGGGACATATGTTCTTTTCTTTTTTTTCAAGTGGTTTTCCAACCAATGGTCTTCCCATGTATCACTGATCTTTTGATCAACCCCCAGCTAAGGACCACTTGAGGAAGGGTAAAGAACAGCAGCTCCCTGAGGCCACTAAAATGGCAACCAAACTCAACAAGTGACGAAAGTCCATGAACTCTCTCTCTCTCTCTCTCTCTTTTTGCTTCGGCTTCGAGTGACATGACACCCGCCATGAACTCAGTGGATGAAAGACCAGCGCTTCTCTGAGTCCTCTTGAACAAATTCTGAGCATTATAGATATATATATAATATTTATATTACATATATGTATATCTGATATAGGTGCCTATAATATCTATATGACATATATATATATATATATACATGTTTTGCGGATGCATATCCCCTTTGGGATGGTTTTAAAAGGAACCGGTTTCTGGAGTGTCACCTCTAAGAAAAAATGACTCGGGCCCGTTCGACGGCGAATTGAGGCCTTGCGCCCAGCGGCACGGATGTCCTGAAGGCGCCAGGGCGCCTCAGCCGGCGGTTTGCATCCTGGGGGGGGGGGGCATGGTTTTGGTGGTCCAGTTGAAATAAAAAACTCAGGGGGGAGCACTTTTTTTGCCCCAAATCCGGGGGATTTTTTATTTTATTTTATTTTTTCGGGGGGAGCACTTTCTCCCCCCAAATCCGGGGGAGGGGGATGGTGTTGGTTTCCCCCATAGTGTTTTCCCTTAGCCGAACAAGGCTTTACCGAGCCGACGAGGCCATGGCCCCTTGTCGCGCGCCGAGGTCCTGCCCCTGGCCTGAGAGCGAAACCGTCCAGGCCAGGACCTCGATCGGCTCGGGAGTGGACTTGGTTTCTGCTTGGGTTCCTGACCTGGGTCCCCCAGCTAGGTGCCCTTTCTCACCCCTTTGTTGGTTGGGAGGGTGTTCCCCTACTAAAATAGACTACAGAAAAAAAGTTGGTACCCTTGTTCTAACCTCTCTACTGGAGGACCTAGTGTCAGTTTGGATTCCCTGAGAAAAAAAGGGAGCCCAAGCAAATAAGGTACCTGGACCCTCAAACTAGTTGGTTGGAAGTTGGTTGGAAGTTCATTTTATTTCCGGAAAAAGAAGCGGCAAGCCCAAAAGTACCTGCACCCTGAAACTACCCATCCAAATGGGTTGCCCCCCCTTTTTGTTTGTGGTTGGAAGTGGCCTTTTGTATTTGCCTGGATCCTCCGACCTCGTGCAAGTCATTTCAAAGCAGGAATAATATAGGGACCCACAAAAACTCGGTTGCCCCAAAAGAATCTGTTTGGGTGGGTTCCTCAATGGTCAGCGTGTAAAGGACCTTTTGATCACCCCTATTCTCTCCGTTCTTTCCGTCTTCCGTTTTTCTTCTGTGGCAGCATGGGCCCTTTTTTTGTTTGCTTGTTTCATCTAAAGGCGTGGCCGCAACATCCTTCGGTCGTTTTTTCCCGCCACCCCCATTTTTCCTTCCTGAAACTTTTGAATCCACCTTTATAGACATTTCCGGGGCGGGGGGAGCTTGGCGAGCGCCCGTCTCCAACATGTCCGACTTGCACAAGTTGGCTATAAATCGGTTTTGCGCCATGTAGCCCAAACTAAGGCCGGGCCCCGGTCCGGTGTTTTAAACCAGGCTGAAAAGGCGACCCTCGCGCACAGATCCAGGCTCGCAAGAGGAGCTTCGTCGCGGATGTGGCCGGGATCCTGGACCCCCGGCCAGCTGGTGGTTGAAGCAGTTGCCACGGCTGGGGCATCCTGACGGCTGCTAAGTTCATTTACCAGCAAATGTCGACCCCATATTAATGAACCCAGTTTGTGAATATGGGGGTGGGGGCCCCTCCAAAAGTGATTTGATTCCCCACTAATGCCAGAAACACCCCTATCAATACTTTGGTGCATTTTGCTTGGATGTTAGGACTTTAACTTTTTGCCAACTAATGGGTTTTCCATTAAACCACTAAAAGTTAGTCACTTTTAGCAGGGCTTCGCAGATTTCGCAACCGAGAATAAACTGGGGTTGATTATGGGGTCAAGGGCCCACTCGCCTTGAGGGGCCGTTCTTCTTGGTGGTTCCCAGCCATCCGAATCCGCTTCCTTAGCTTACAAGTTTCAAGCTTGGGTTTCAGCTTCGCCCACCAAAATACTGTTTTTTCCTGTTTTTTCCCCTGTTCTTTTGTTTTTCCAAAAGTTGTTGTTTTTTGTTTTACCTTTTTGTTTTTCTTTCTCGCAGGGGAGCTGAACAGGGACAGCCCAGTTTAGAGTCAACTATTAGTTTATCAGACCTTTTGTGCCGGCCCTGTTTGGCACAAGAAGGCTTCCTGCACCGGAAACATGGAGCAGGCGAGCACTCACTTTTTCCGGGTTCGGAATTCTGATGAGCTGCTAGCGTTTGCTCTTCCTTCTCGCTCTTGAGGACCTTGCGGCGGGGTGAACTTCACGAAAACGAGCCTTGGGCCGATGTTGAAGCGGTCTCCTTCCAGGCGACATGCCAGGAACTCACTTCCCGAGTTTCCGGACTTTGTACTTATTTAAAACACAAAAAAAAAGCCGCCAAACAAACAGTTTGGGCTTTTTGGGCCCATGCACTCAAGTGAGAAATCCCTCCCCCTTCCCCCACCCCAACCCCCAGGCTTTCCAAGCCAGTCCAGGCCCCAAATCCTCTCGGTCATGTGTCGCATGGGTCAAAATTCGTCACCAGGACTAGGGTATGGACCGCTGGGTTAGGCACCGGGGCAACCCATTTTGGGCACACATTTTTTTGACCCACAGCCACATCTTGATGTGACCCCCAGGCTGTTGGATGATCCCGGCGCTTTTGGCAAGCACGCATTTTTACTGACAAGTGTCCACACTGAAAGAGTGAAGGTATAGCAGGCTGGCAGTCTTTTCCTTTCCATTTGCTTAAACATATGTTCTAGTTCCCTTGTTGGTTTTAGAGGGAATCTACGGGACATGTGTCTATTTGTTCCAGGAGGCTTAGCCAAATGGAAGTTTCAGGTTCGCTTGCAGTCTTTTTCCTTAGTTCTTCCCGCGACCTAGGCTTCGCTGTTACCTGGGATGAAGCGCTGGGACCTCGGAATGCGAAGCCAAAAAGAGGCCGATGTAGTTCACATGACTGTGGATGGACGAAATCCAATTCGCACCACTTTGAAACCATGGGAAACCATTGTTTATGTTAATTTACAGGGGAACCATCCTTAGGTGGTGCAGGATTTCGTCCATCCACAGTAGGTGTCCTTTTTGGTTGGTCGAAACATGGAGAGGGCGATTCTTGTTTACCCGCAGGTTCGATCAACTACCAGGGAAACCCAGCAAAATTTTCGCAAACAGGACACCTATGAAAATGGTAGACTGCCTTTTCCAGCAAATGGACACCACCATTTGGGGAGGAATTGTTCACCTTCCCATTTCACACGTGGCCCCTTGCGAAAGGGGAGACTAATAGTGCGCCATCATTTGATAGCCAGACTGTTGGCAAGGGAGCCACCGTGACGGAGTTATGTATATAGTGCATGCTCCCTGTTGAGCATAGAACGCGCACATATAGGCTGTGGGTCAAAACCAAGGGGATCCCATTTTGGGTAGGTGAATTCACCACCCATTTTAGTCTATTTTTAATGTGGATTGGGATGTTCACTGGGGGTACAGGATTTTGACCCAAGGCCATATCAATATTTATCATAGCATGATTCTGAGACGAATCTCCTTTCGCATGGCTCCGCGGGACTACGCAAACCAGGTTCGCCCTGTTTGTTGCCGTGGGTTGGGCCATTGGGCAAACCACGCACTCAAACAGTACAACTCAAAGCTCGTCTCGTCCACCACATCTTTGATCTTTATGAAGTAGTTGACCGAGTAGATCCCCCAAAGAGCGCAGCGGGAAAGTAGTGACACTCGCAACGAGTTGTGTCGGTTTGTGAGAGTCTTTGGGGTTGCAAAGGGAAATCCCAAACAACAAGCCACCTGGATCGCCAGTTGCTGGTTTGTTCCATGCACTTTACCATTCAAAAACCAGCAACAGTGACTGAAACAAGCGATCGCAACTTGGCTATCTAGGCAGGTTCCATTTTTTTGGGGAGTCTTTGGGGTTGCCAACGGAATCCCAAACAACAACCCAGATACTATCTTTTGGGGGGGGTTCGCCATGACGAGACTCACTCAATTGGATTCGGGTCCAGGCATGCGGCTTCGACCCACCATCGGTCAGCTCCGGCTACAGCGAGAGGCCGGCAGCGTGAGCGCGAAAGGGGTGAACTCAAGAGCCTCCTTTCTTAGTCGAAAATGGACTAGGTCCCCCAGTAGTGCCCTTTTACCCTTTTTTTGGGGAGGGTTCCCCTACTAAAATAGACTACAGAAAAAGGTACCCTTATTCTAACCTCTCTACCTCTCTACTAAAGAGACCTAGTTGACATACTACCCTAAAAATTGGTTTTGGGTGTAGCCTACCCCCTACACCCAAACCCCACATTTTTAGTTGGTATCATGTCAATGTTCGACTAAGAAAGTAGGTTTCTCAAGGTTTGTACTTGGCTAAATAGAGTGGCAATTGGGCCTCGAAGGGGAAGAGCCCTGGAAAAGGCTCCGGTCGTTTTCCCCGGTCGGTTTCTTCGGTCATCGCTTTCGATCGCAGGCGGAGGACCCTTTAGACCTGCCAGCACAGGCCGGGGAGCAGGAGTTTGATCAGTTTAAGAACTATGGCTGTGGGTCAAAATCAATGGGATCCCATTTTGGGGTAGGTGCACCACCCGTTTTAGTCTATTTTAGTGGGGATTGGGATGTTCACAGGGGGTGTGTATCTCTTTTTAAGTACCCGGACCATTTGGACCCGAAAAATACCCTTGAAATGGGTGGTTTGCCCCCGAAATTTGTGGGGTAAATTCCCTCTGTGAAGGGTATTTTGGGGGTCCAGGCTTCTTTCCTTTGTTTCCTCTCTTTTTTTAGGGGGGGTTCTAAAGGAAAACACCAGGAAAGCCCGCCCATTTTGGAGGATCCCCCTTATTTGAAGACACAACACGGGAGTTCTTGAAAATGGCACTTTTTGGGGCGGAAGCCAGAAGGAAGCAAGCGGAAGGGGCCACATTCGAAACAAGACACACCCGTATGGGGGTGTCTTCTTTCAGGGCCTCCCCCCCCCCGGTTCAGACAACTAGTTGTTCTTGTGGTGTTCCTTTAAAGCCACTCAAAAAGGGCGATATAAGGGTATGTCGTTTTCGAGGGGACGCCTAAATGGGGTTCCTTTATGAGGTGTTCCTTCAAACTTTAAACAGGGCTCCTTAAAAGATCTCCATTTTGCAACCATTTGAAACATGTTGCTTTTTCAAGACCAAAATAAAGTTGGAAACAACACCATTTACAAGTTGCACTGTTCAGGTGTTTTTCATGCATCCGGATCCCTGTTAAACCACTCAAAAAGGTCACCTCCCCCAAATCGTGAGGTGTCTGTTTGGTTTTCCTTTGAAGCCACGTTGTCCTTTTACTTTTTTCTTAGCCACCCAAAGCCACCCATGGGCAATATACGGGTGTGGCACGTGTCTGTTCTCAGGGGACCACCTAGATTGTGGTTTCTTTTGGGTTGCCATTAAAACCACCCAGAAGGGTACCAACTCAAAAAAGACACCATGAAGGAGCGGGGCCTGTACGGTTGTGGAATTCGGATATTTGGAGTAAGGACCATTTTCGGTAATTGGCTAAGGGAAGTCCTTTTGAAGTGACAAGGAGATGGCGAACTCGCACTTTGCGAGATCGCAAGCGTGATGTTCCACGAGTGTCTGGGCAAGGGAAGTCTCGCGGTGATGTACTTTCGAAGGTACTTCTCACTTCCGCTCGAGTTTCTGCACTTTAGTCACTTTTTGGGAAGACCAATTTAGTGGCAAATAAGCAGTTTGGACTTTTTGTGGCCAATCCACTGAGGGAGTGAGGTAGCTGTTACACCTGAACAAAAATGCATGGGGGATTGTGGGCCAGTCATGACCCAGACTGTCACCTCTGTGTTCAGGGCTGTGGGAAATGGAATCCACTTTTCTGTGATACAACAAAAAGGGCCGAACCCCAAAAACCATCCCTATAAGGGGGAGATTCCAAAAAGTACCCTTTTTAACCACTTTGTTGGGACTAAAATAAACTACCGGAAAAAGAAAGTTGGTACCAACTTAGTCTAACCTCTCTACTGGAGGACCTAGACAATCAAAACCCGGAAGATGAAGGTTAGCAAGGGACGATCCGAACCAGAAATAGGTGCGGATATCCGCCTTCTTAATCCTTTACATGGTTCACGATTTTTAACATAAAATAATTACAAGAAGCTCCCCTGGCTTTTGAGGGATTCCAGCTCGCAGGTGCGCCTCTCTGTAGAGCCCGAGCTTCTACGCGCTGCGGCCGGGGGCGATTTGGGGGGGAGTGCGAATTCGCTATTCAGGATCCAGGACTTACCCCCGAAACCGCCAAATACCCGCCTGCCCTTTTTTCCCGGTGTTTTTTGGGAGAACCAGGTTGTTCCTGATAAATACCTCCCTGTTTAGTAGAGGGTTTGGGGGTGGTTTCAAAGGGGAAACCACGGACGGCGGCCACCATTTTCAGGGTCCCCTCAAGAAAGACAAGCAAGCAGTCACTTACGCCAAGCCATGCTCGGGAGTCAGCTTCAAGCTTTTGCCAAACTCAGTGTTGCAACCAACCTGATTTCAGGGGCCTCAAAAAAACAAAAGGATACCCTGCTCTCCAGCAACGTGGAACCCGACGTCAAAGAAGTCCTGGTTTGGACAACTTTCCTATAACTTTTCCTTAGAATGCACCATTTCTCTGGTGGGTTCCACGTGGACATGGACCATTTCTCTGAGTTCCATGTCATACTGGACAGGAGGCGGGCGCCTCCCAAAAACTGTCGCGCAGCCTATGCCCAGCATCCGTCCATGCGCATCGCCGCATCCACTGATCCGACTGATGCGGCAGGTGTCCATCGAGCGCGCCTTTGATAAAGGCGCGCTTGACCCGGCGCTGGGCGACCACTTCCCTTCGCTTCAGGGGACAAGGGGGTACCCATGACAGGTGTGTGAGGTATGCTCCATTTGCGGAAAGGAACACATTTGTCTTATGTTCCCTTTTTTGGTTGTAAAGGGAAGCGATGTCACTACCGGACGTGTTTTCGGGGGGGGAAAAAAAGGAAGGTCGTCTTTTTCCACTGATTTTCGCTATGGGGTCGATAGGCCCACAGGAGCTCTGGTGGGTGGTTTGGGGCACGTTTCCCGGGAGGGTTCAAAAGGAGCGTTCCGAGGCGGTTGGGGGTATTACCTGGGGCTTAGTTTTGAGATGTTTTGAGGGATCGAACCCTTTTGGCTTCCAAACGGGAAACCAAACGGAAAATTGATTTTATAGATAGCCAAGTTGCTGCTTTTCTCAGTCACTGTTGCTGGTTTTTGTGGTAAAGTGCATGGGAAAAAAAGCAACTGGCAATCCAGGTCCTGCCTTTTGGGGGGGTCCTTAAATTCTGAAAAACAGAAGAGCCACCCGTATGGACCTGGTTGCTTTTAGTTGATTTGGTTTTGAAGCCCAGTATCTTGATCCAAATGGGGAAGGAACCCAACGTCCAAACCACCAAACGAAACTAAGGGGAAAGTGCCCTACTGGCTTTTTTGTGGCTGGTTCTATTCCCTGCTTGAAGAGGGATTGTAAAAATCCCTATATCAAACTTTATAGCCATGCTAGTAGAGCATGCAGTCAATGGGTTTTGGGTGCTGCCACTTGGGATTGTGACATAAGCCCGCTCCTATGCCAAAGTGTACTTCGCGTACTGCGCTTGTAGCGCAAAGTTGCGATGCGGAAGTGTGCTTCGCGTACTGCACTTGTACAGCAAAGTTACGAGCTGAAGCTGCGGAAGTGTACTTCCCGTGCTGCACCTGTGCCGCGCAGTTGCGATGTTTGCGCTGCACCTGCGGAAATCTACTTCGCATACTGTGCACTACAAAGTTGTGCTTCTCGAGCTGGAGCCGCGTAAGTGCACTTTGCGCACAGTGCTACGAAGTTGTGGTTAACGAGTTGGAAACACGGTCCCCATTGGATCGCTCTGGGTCCGAAACGATTCACCTTCCCTGAAGGAGTCGCTTCCTGCTTGAACAATGGTCCGTTTGCTAGCGGATGCTGGGACGCCATACGCCATGGGACGTGAGCAGGCCAGCTTTGGTCACCAGAGCACTCCAGATGGCTGATGCGCGCTGGATGCTAGTGGTTGAGCCGCTTTAGATTATACCATTGAACATGCGCGGCACCGCGGGCATTATGACAGCAGTGCTGCGCATTGACACGCCGCTGTCGTTGCAGTATGCGGCTTCACCGCACACTGCCACACATTTGCCATTCAACCCTTTGAGGATCGGTGGGGGTTAAAAGGGGCCAAAGTAGACCAATTTGACTACAAACGCATGCACGGCTCCTTGCGCTTCCATGTTTCGTCAGTGTATGCGATCATCAACTACTCGATCGGGAAATTCCAAAAATGGTTTCAAGCGTGCCACCGATTAAAGCTCCTTTGGGTCGCTCGAACCCCAGTAGACGGCTCATGAGTGTCGACTATGGAGATGGTCTGTTGTACTGGCGTCCCCTTCCTGGCTCTATGATGGCAGAAAAAGGGTGCCCACCGAGCTCGGCAACTGTTGTTTTCCCTACACTTGCCAGACGCCGTGCACTTCGAGATCTCTTTTCCTCCGCAATACCCGCGCGGGGCCTGATAATTTGGGGAAGGCCATGTTAGTGGCAAGAAGTTTGAGCGTTGTTACTACATGTCTTCTTGGGCAGTCCACCCTAGTGAATTAGGGCTCACCTTTTTTGCCGTTTGGACTGTTGGGGGAGGGGTGGTATCATTATACTTGAAAATCGCTGTTGCAATGACGGGTGTCTACGCATAGTGGCAGCTGGTTAGTATTATCATGTTATATCATATTACCTGATTGTACACTTGAAGCATCCAACCGTTCAGCGGCAGCTGCAGTCATTGTGTGATGTTTGGGTGCGCCTGCGCGTGTCCGTGCACGTGCGCGCGGGCGGGCGTGTTTGTGTGTGTGTTTGCGTGTGTGTGTGTGTGTGGGTGCGTGCGTGCGTGCGTGCGTGCGTGCGTGGCGTGGCGTGGCGTGGCGTGGCGTGGCGTGGCGTGGCGTGGCGTGGCGTGGCGTGGCGTGGCGTGGCGTGGCGTGGCGTGGCGCGGCGCGGCGCGGCGCGTGGCGTGGCGTGGCGTGGCGTGGCGTGGCGTGGCGTGGCGTGGTGCGTATGCGTGGCGTGGCGTGGCGTGGCGTGGCGTGGCGTGGCGTGGCGTGGCGTGGCGTGGCGTGGCGTGGCGTGGCGTGGCGTGGCGTGGCGTGGCGTGGCGTGGCGTGGCGTGGCGTGGCGTGGCGTGGCGTGGCGTGGCGTGGCGTGTGGCGTGTGGCGTGGCGTGGCGTGTGCGTGTGCGGTGCGGTGCGGTGCGGTGGGCGGTGCGGTGCGGTGCGGTGCGGTGCGGTGCGGTGCGGTGCGTGCGGTGCGGTGCGGTGCGGTGCGGTGCGGTGCGGTGCGGTGCGGTGCGGTGCGGTGCGGTGCGGTGCGGGTGCGGTGCGGTGCGGTGCGGTGCGGTGCGGTGCGGTGCGGTGCGGTGCGGTGCGGTGCGGTGCGGTGCGGTGCGGTGCGGTGCGGTGCGGTGCGGTGCGGTGCGGTGCGGTGCGGTGCGGTGCGGTGCGGTGCGCGGTGCGGTGCGGTGCGCGGTGCGGTGCGGTGCGGTGCGGTGCGCGGTGCGGTGCGGCGGTGCGGTGCGCGTGCGTGCGGCGGTGCGCTGCGCGGCGTGCGGTGCAGCGCTGCGCTGCGCTGCGCTGCGCTGTGCTGCGCTGCGCTGCGCTGCGCTGCGCTGCTGCGCTGCGCTGCGCTGCGCTGCGATGCTGCGGTGCGGTGCGGTGCGGTGCGGTGCGCTGCGGTGCGGTGCGCTGCGCTGCGCTGCGCTGCGCTGCGCTGCGCTGCGCTGCGCTGCGCTGCGCTGCGCTGCGTTGCGTTGCGTTGCGTTGCGTTGCGTTGCGTTGCGTTGCGTTGCGTTGCGTTGCGTTGCGTGCGTGCGTGTGTGTGTGTGTGTGAGTGAATGGCAACGGTTTTTGCTTAAAAACCACAAAACAACCTTTGGCGGTTTTCCAGAAAGGGCCCAGTGATCGACCGCCAGCTTGGAGGGGGTAAAACAAGCGAAAGCCATGGCAGGGGAATCTTGGGCATCTCTTAATTCAGGCTTTGGACATGTGGGTTCCAGTGTTGATGGACTGATGCTTCTAATTAACAACCATTTTTGGTTGAAAAATCAATCAAGGTGTCTCAAAACGATGGCCCCCTGGACCGCCGAGGCACCGGGCACCTCAGGTGCTGCAGGCGGAGTCCGGCGGAGTTTGAGGAGATGGCCGTGGGTGGTGGGGGTTGGTGGGGTTCGTGGGTTTGGTGGGTTGGTGTTGGTGGGTTAATGGTGGGTTGGTGGGTGGGGGGTTCGTGGGGTTGGTGGGGTTGGTGGGGTTGGTGAGGTTGGTGGGGTTGCTGGGGTTGGTGGGGTTGCTGGGGTTGGTGGGGTTGGTGGGGTTGGTGGGGTTGGGGTTGGCGGGGTTGGGGTTGGGGTTGGTGGGGTTGGTGGGGTTGGTGGGGTTGGTGAGGTGGTGGGGTTGGTGTTGGTGAGGTTGGTGGGGGTGAGGTTGATGGGGGTGGGGGTTGGTGGGGGGGTTGGTGGGGTTTTGGTGGGGTTGGGGTTGGTGGGGTTGGTGGGGGTTGGTGGGGTTGGTGGGGTGGTGGTGGTTGGTTGGTGGGTTGATGGGGGTTTGGGGGTGGTGGGGTTGGGGTTGGTGGGGTTGGTGGGGTTGGGTTGGTGGGGTTGGTGGGGTTGGTGGGGTTGGTGGGGTTGGTGGGGTTGGTGGGGTTGGGGGTTGGTGAGGTTGGTGGGGTTGGTGAGGTTGATGGGGGGTTGGTGGGGTTTTGGTTGGGGTGGGGTTGGTGAGGTTTCCAGAAGAAGTAAGTGGGTGGAACGAGCTTTCGTGGTCTTAGGGACATGTTTGCACGGGTTAATGGAATGTTCTATGGGTAAACGAGGGCCACGCGAATGTGACGCGTCCATTTGCTGAAAAGAACATGTTTTTTATTGTCCCCTGCTTTTGAAGGTAACTTATCCCTGGACATATTTTCTCTCATGTTTTCCAGGAGACAACCCCGCGAACGGAAGGACGTCATGGAAATGACTCGGATTTCTAAATGGTCGGGCCATTCCTGGGGCCCAGAATTGAAGCCGATGTCCTTGGAACTTTTCAGCCCACCGGGGTCTGCGGGATTCCGTTGGGGGGGCTCCTTTGCGGGTTCCCGCTAAAAAAAGGGCGCAGTTGCAAAGGATGGTTGAATTGGCAGTGTTGCACTCCAGATTGACATGGGTTCCCCAAAACCCACGCCGAAATCTCCTCTTTAAAGATTCTTTGGTGGGTTCCATGCTAATCTGCACAGGATGTTCTCGGATGAAATTTGGAGGAGCATGCTAATCAACCTCCTGTGGGTTATGAAATGGGTGCCCTTTGTAGTGGTTTCCCTAAAGGGATTAAGGACAATCGGATTGGCCAACCCTCCATTTTGAACAGCCCAGCTGGTTATTCCTCAAATGCAAGAATCTGCCGAACAAGGAGCCACCCATCAGCAGATTGAGTTGCTTTGCACACTGGGAGCCGCCTGTAGAAGTTACTTCGTTTGGTCCTGGCTGATTGGAAGCGGCATTCGCACGTTGCTGCCCGTGGAAGGGGTTGGAGGGGCCATCATGTTGAACCATTCTTCTCCTTTTGATCGGTTAGTTTGGGCAATGAAAATAGATGGGTTTCATTGGCTTAGTTGGGTTTTGTGCCATCTTACAAATAAAACCCAACAGATGTTCCACTTTAGATGGGACACCGCCCTCCATTTCTCAGACACCTCCCATGGGATTTTTCCACCTCCCGGCTCGCAGGTGTCCCCAGCCCAGCAAGTGGCATCTTGGAGGTGCGCGGATGGGCAAAGGATATCACGCATTGACTGGTTTCTGGAGGTTTTCTAACCGGATCCCTGGGTTTAGAAGGGACAATGGAAAAAGGTAGCACAAGAATCACCGGAGTTCTTGCCAGGGAAGGGTTCTCTTTTGTGGGGGTTTAACCGCCAATTTCTCTGGCTCTGATATAAATCCAACGGCACCCACCCGCACGAACACGTCACCTTCGGCTTCGGGGTCCTTTTTGGTGGTTTCGGTCGATTTGTTTTTCTGGCCATCCTTGGTTTACCTGGTTTGCTTGAATCAACCAGGGAAACCCAATTTGCCCTAAAAGGAGACCTATGGTCACCCAGGTTTTCCAGATGCGATCGAAGAGCCAGAGTTGCGATGCATGGGCCAGCATGAAAGGGGGCGTATACCCAGCGCCCGAAGAGATAAGAGGTCGGGGGTCCAGAGGCAAGCCAAGCGGCCACTGATTCTTTTGTGTTTTTGTTTTTTCCACTGGGCTCCTTAAAAGATACATGTTTCCCATTTGAAACATGGCTTTTTCTACCAAAATAAAGGGAAACCACCATTTACAAGGCAATGTTCAGGTGTATAATGTAAGGATCTCTGTCCCATGTTGATATATTCTCCATTTTTCGTCACGATCCCAAAGGCTTACTGTCAGCAACAGTAGGCTTTCATTGCTGGGTCCTCTGTGAGCGTTGTGGAAAAGAGACAGGACCTCCCACCCCAGGGGAAAATTGAATTGGAGCCTGTTGTTGGCCCTAAAGGTACTGTGCCGCTGACTTTTCCTAGAGTTTTCATGGAACAAGGGGTGTTTAAGCAGGTACATAAACCTTGGTACCACTCAGGGTCAAAGAATGTTGTTTAGACACACCTCTCACATCTTTGAACAACCAGAGAGAGTTGTTCAAACAAGGGACAAGGGGTGTTTGATGTTGAAACAGCCGAAGAGAGTTGGTATTCCTTTGCTGGTTGTTTGAAGAAGGGGGGTTGAACGTTGAAGAAACAACGGCTTGGCAACCATCCTCCAACATTTCGCAAACTCCTTTAGCTTCCTTTAGAGTATTTCAGTAACGCCCCTTGCCCTCCCCCCCGAGAACGAGCCCATGAATTTTTGATTTAGAGCCATAACAAGGGGAGGCAAGGGAAGGTGATGGCCCTAGTGACTATTAGTCGCTCATAGTCACGTCTTTCGGCTGTGGCTCCCCTTGCGAAAAGGCTTTGAATCAGGCAACATGGGCCGGTGACAGTTAGAATTAAGCATCCCCCAATACTGGTCGGTTGTTCTTTGGTTTCCCTTCAAACCATGAAAAAGGGCACATGCCTCAAAGAACACAAAACTGCCGTTGTTTCTTGGGCTTGCTTTTTATAAGCCAAGCGGCAAATGCCTCAACAAAGCAATGCCCCCCCCCAAAACCCATGAAACACATCCAATAGTATGGCTGTGGGTCAGAACTAAAACCAGGGACCGCAAGTGTTTGACCTTCCATTCAAATGAAAAGGCAACCCAACATTTTGGGGGTGACCGACTCCCGCTAGCCTCATCAAAACCACGTCAAAACTCATTGAAGTTCCTGGGGTTCCCTTTAAACCCATGACGCACATCCGTACTGCGGGTGGACGAAATCCTGCACCAAGCAATGATTCCCCTGAAAATACCGTGAATAGCAACCACAACTGGCGTCCCTAGGATTTCCAAGTGGCGCGGTGTCGGATTTTCGCCATTCCAACAACTGCTGGTTTTAACTTCACCCACTTCACCCTGGAAACCCCAAGTGGTGCGCTTCGCCATGCTCGTTTTTTTGGTTTTTCTGGCCAAGCGCCTCGAATCGGCGAAGCGGCGAATCGGCGAGTCGCAAGGTACGAGGCCCAAAGTGTGCAGCTGCCGCGGCTCCACGGCAGCAGCTGGAGTTCAGCCATGGGCCCGGCACCTTAGGGGGGCCCTCAGGGCGGCGGGGTGGGGGGAGGGGGGGGGAGGGGAGGGGGGGGGGGAGCGGGCCCAACTTTGAGCGAGAACAGGGGGCAGTGGCAGATTTGTGTTTTGTGCGGGGGGTCGAAGAAAATGAGGAACCTGAGCTCAGGTGTTGCTGAGTTGGTGGTTTGGATCGGGGTTTGGATTTGGGTTGTAGCTTCTTTTCTTATGTGGTCATGGGGGCTGGGGGGAGGGAGGGGGAGGCGGGGGAGGGGGGAGGGGGGGGGGGCCAAATAATCCTCAACAAGGCTGGGGGGGGGGGACGTGGCAGATTTGTTGTTTTTCTGTGGGGGCTTGATCAAAGGTCCACCGAACATGAGATGACCATTGGAGGACAACCGCGGAAAAAAGAAGAAAAACAACACCACAGGAAGAATGACCCATGGTCATTTGTGGGCCAGGAATGTTGATCAACCCCCATGAGGGTTTCTGCAACATGACCTGAATCAAAACCTGTTCCTTACAGGCGTGCATGTCCTTAGATCAATCAAGAACCCCTACAGCGAAGCTGTTTGGGGAAACTCGGACTACAGCAAAAAGGCCTAGGCGTACCAACTTACTCTAACCTCTCTACTGGAGGACCTAGTACCCTTCCATTTGCTTAGGACTTGTGTTGGTTAATTTTCCCCTTGTTTTGTTGGATGGTTGGATGGATGGTTGGGTTGGGTTGGGTTGGGTTTGGTTGGGTGTGGGCAGACCAGGTTTTGCTTGGTGCCTCACCCTGGGTTTCGCTCAGACAGAAGCCAGCGGAGTCCAAGCGCCAGAGGAGTCCAAGCGAAAGCCGGGCCTTTTTTCCCATGAGTGGCCCCTAAAAAAAAAAAAGCCGAGCTTTTTCCACAGGGCTCCTTAAAAGATCTCCATTTGCCCACCCGTTTGAGTTACACGTGGCTTTTTCAACCCCAACATAAAGTTGGAAACAACCACCAAATAGACGAGTCAGGCAATGCTCGATCGGTGTTTTTTTCATGCATCCGGATCCCTGTGACATGATCGGCTCTCCAGTTTTTTCCGGTTTGCGTCCAGGTCCCAAAAGGTGAGCATTCAGCTGGGATAGTTGACAGAACGTGGGTGTGTTTGTTTAGGGTTTGAACTCGACCCCCCCCAGAAAAAAAAAGAGGAAAGACATACGAGGTGTTCGGTTTTATTCTTGGCTTCCCATTAAAACCAAAAAGAAGGTGCACACCAATATGTGAAACATAATTGGAACAGATGCAAAAGGGTCACCACCATTTGACACATTCCCATAGGGGAAACCACCCCCAACTTCCAAGCCCCCAATCCAATTCACAAATCAGAGGCAAGCTAATCCTAGCTGCAAGAGCCCCCGCGCCCGGAAGGTCATGGTCAGCACTTGAAAAAGCGCAAAAGCGTAGCCCTTTTGCGAGCGAGGCATTGCTGACATCATTCGAGATCTCCTTGAGCCGTTCCCAGGTGCGAGCGAGAATAATGCGCGGGCTGGATGTGTCAAGGGCAACCCTTTCTCTTGCCTCTTTGGTTTAGCACGCCGTAACGAGCTTTGGGAAACTAAAAATGTTGTTGTTATATATATATATATATGTATATGCTAGATATACATGTTGTTGTTGTTATATTTTCACCCATTGAAAGGTGATCGAAGCTTTTGGTCAGGCTTGGAGCACTCCATGTGGGTTTTTCAGGACCGGTCGGAGTCGGGAGAGGGTGCCAGGAGACTCTCGAAAGGGATTTGTCGTCTCCGCTTCCCGGTTTCCGAACAATTTGCTTAGGGCGTCTTCAAAAAGGCAGAGGTGGGTCTGCCTTTTTTTGAGTAGCAGTTGTTTCGTTGCTTGTTTTGCTTTGGGGGGGAGGGAGGGGGTTTAATTTGCGTTGCTTGTTTTGCTTTGGGGGGGAGGGAAGGGGTTTAATTTAATCCTGGAGCACCCTTCGTTACCTAAATTTCTGCCCTTAGCCCAAACGTATTGCAAAACCAGGGGTCGTCACCAAAATACGGCAAATGTACACTTTTTCCTGCTTCGAGCGTTTTTCCCAAAACTGGGCTGGTCGGTCCTCCAAGATGATCGGTCGCTGAATTTTCGAAAGGAGCGAGCAGAATTCGAAGTGCAACACGAGCGCAAATATCCGAAAAAATCCGCAAACGAGTGCAAATTCAAAAAGCGTAACAATGCCGGCCGTCCTCTGGATGGAAGAAGGGATTTGGTCGAGCGTTTTTCGGGGTGCGAGCGTTTTTTGCGGGGTCGAGCAGAAATCGGTAATTCGAGCGTTTTTTTTTCGTACCTAAAAAAAAGGGCACGTTGGGTGCCTCAGGATAGGAAGCCAAGAGGCTCGCGGCCATTTTTGGAGGGCGCTCCAAAAACGACGTATCCGTATACCCATGTCTTCCGGTCGAATGAATTCGGGGGCCATAGGCTTCCTTTGCCATGAACTAAGTACAACAGAGCCCGGATCCCCAAGCTCAAAGGGTTGGGCGGAAAACAGCTTACTTAGGGTGTTTTGGGGTCATTACCTTTAGATTTGTTTGTAACCAAACCCTTTGACTGGGGCTAGTCTTAGCCAAGGGTTCTACTCCGGATTGCAATGAGTTGTTGTTTTGTTTTATAACCATCATGTTGGTTCCTGTAGAGCCAAATGGGGTTTGAGCTCCAATGGCTGTTGTGAGCGGAATTGCTTCGACGCAAAAGAACTTGATTTCCAGGTTCATAATGGGCACTTGGGGTTCAGGGCTTTCCGAATCGGAGCTCTCTTTTGCACTAGGCTAGTCATCGCAAAGTGTTTGATTTTTTACATGGCTTTGTCTACGGGCGGTTTCCCAATTGAATGTCCCCGACCAAGCCTAAAACGGGCCGGCCTCAAGGAAAAAGGCACCGGAAAATCAGAGATGGGTGTGGGACCCCTCAATGGAGTTGTTTTGCTTTTTGGTTTCCCGTTGAACCTCGCCCCACCCCCCCCACCCCCAAAAAGAAAAAAATGGAAAAACACGAATCTCAAAAGAAGGACCGGGTTTCCTTGGATTTTCCGGTTTTCAAGCCCCAAAAACCGGGCACCCCTCAACAAAAGGACCGACCCGGATGCTTCTGGCGCAGGCCTTTCCGGCCGCTGCGACAAGGCAGGTGATTCATCGCGGGGCTTTTAACGTGCACCTGAACCACTTGCTCAAATCCCGGATAGATGAAGGTTAGGAAGGGATAGTCCCAACCATAGGTGCGGCCCTTTTAATTCTTTACGTTTGCATGGTTTTGGGTACACCATTTTAATGCCAGGTTTGATTATGGCTCACCTTTGGAAGAATTAATGTCAACCCAACATACCGTGCTCCGGGCTCAACACACCGTGCATGGAGTTCGGCCAAGTTAGCAAGTGGGTCGTAACCATGGTCTTAGCTTTCAACCTACTTACAATCGGCCCAACTCACTCATAGGCGATACCCTAGGTGTTCGACTTGCAAACTTGGCCGAACATCCAAGTACTAGTCAGCGGTGGTTCCCCTGCAGTAAAAGCCATTGTCTATTTTATTTGACTAGTAGGGTCCTCCGGATTTATCCGTCCAAATCCTCCTGCAGCTGGCAAAGGCCCCCCAAAACAAAGGGTAACAGGGAAAAGCCTAAAACCAGTTGGGATCATTGTTGGGCCTATTCAAGTAGTCTCTCAGTAAGTACCACTTAGTCTTGGTGTGGTATTCCCTTGAGCTGGTTCAGTACTATTACGAACTGGCTTAGTATTGAGTTGTGTATTCCTTTGTACTGGTTCAGCAGTACTTCGAGTCCGTTCAGTATTTGCTTTGTATTGCTCGGCACCGGCCCAGCAACTTGTCTTTTCTCTATTTCCTCCCCTTCAGCATTTATTCTTCCCTGTACCACCCCCTTCAACATTGGCGGCTGTTTTATGAAAAGGGTGTCAACAATAATTTGTCGTTTGGGGCCTCAGTTGGCATTGCTGGCTCAGAATTGGCTTGGTATTGGGTCAGCATTAGTTATTATAGGTTTATCCCCCGGACGGGCAGCCATAAGTTTTTCACCCAAAACGAAAAACTGTGCTGTATTTCGTCTCCTTTATCTTTTCAGTATTTGGAAAAATGTTGGGAACACTTTCTGTATTGCCTCCGGCCTAGTTACTAATCATTACTACTCGCTAACTGACATTGCCTTGTTTCTGGTTGTTTAACATGGACACCGAAAGGACAACCACCATTGTCAAGTTGGGGGGGGAGGAGTTCCTTATTGGGGAATCCCGGGACTGGTCCAAGCAAGGCTCCTCAAGACTCCCGACGGAACCCTAGGCACTAGGGAAGAACGAACCCCGGGGCTCTCAACTACCCCAGGCCCCTTGTCATATCTTGTGCCTACCCCTCTGCCTAGCAGAGGATCCCAGTGGCAAAAGGCCAAGAGAACCAGAGAGCCAGACAGCCTGAGCCAAAAGGGCCTACCAAGCAATCCTATTTGTGGACCAAGTCTATGAGGGCGGGTTTCACGGAGTGATGATGTTACTGTCGTAGCTTTACTGATTCCAAGCTTTTTGGCCGAAAAAGGTAGAACGAAAGAACCGTGTCGTGTAAGCAAGAAGGACTTGTGCCTGTCGCAAATTTGTCAGAAGAGGTGCACCAAACTAGGGACCGATCCAAAATAACGTTGCCTCAGGATGAACGAAGCCCTGGCTGTGGGGGTTCATCACTTTTGGAGCGGCCCCCTCATCTTGTATGGGCGTGTCTTTTTGAAAGCTGGACCCCCCCATGTCCTTTTGGTTTTCCTTACAACCTGCCAAACAGGGGTTCCCTCAAAAAATGGTAAGCGACCCATGTGGTTTTCTTTTCACAACCCAAACCGGGTTCCACAGCTTAACTTGAGTTGACAACTCGTTTATCCCCAACGAGGGAGCCATTTGGCGATGCCTTGCGTGCACCTACAGACTTAGGTGTTAAGCTTCGCTGTCTTTCATGTGTTGTGTGCTGGTTGGCTTCGTGTTGCTTTTGTGATGATGGTGTGTTTTTTTGTTGAGGTTACCCCTTGTTGCCGTGTTTCAAACGGAAACCAAAGGACAACCACTGTTTTAGGGTGTCCCCTGAAAAATCTGAGGGGGCCACAGTGCGAACACCTTTTGCACACGTACCAGGGTTGGCTCCTTAAACAACTGCAACGTTTCCGCTATTTAGTATCTGTAAATGCCATGCAACCGGGGCTCGCTAATTTAGGACACGCCCTCCTTGAGAGACGTAGTTTGGGGCCAGTCAAGCGAATTTAATACAAAACCGCAAATACGGCACGGATCCACCCCAAAAAGCAGATGGATCGATGAGTGTTGGGGAAAAGTGGAAACCTCTTTCAACAATCAGACCTGCCCCCTTCACCAACCCAAAAAGGCCCCCCCCCCCCAGGGTCAAAAAACTTTAGTGGCTTTTGGTGCTGAAGTGGCTCCCGTTTAAGTACCTTGTACCAAGGGGGTCAAAACCAATGGTACCATTTTGGGATAGGTGCACCACCCAATCTAGTCTATTTCAGTAGCACACCGCCAATCCAAAGCACCAAACGAGGGAAGCTGATCCGACCCAGCAGTGCCTTTTTGCCAGGTCAGCAGTGGCTTCTTGCCAGTGCCAGTGCCACATCCGGCCTCGGAGGATGTGGAGATGGAGATGTCATAGGCGGGGACGGCTGATCTAACACAGCGGAGCCTCCGTAAAAAAGAAAGCTGGTGGGCGAATGAGCCCTATGCAACCGTCATACCCAATATTGGGATTTCCAACAAAATGGTCATGTCCAGTGTTCAGAGGTGCATTTTGCCAAGGGATGTTAGGACTTTAATACCACTTTTTGCCAACTATTGGGTTTTCCACTAAACCCCTAAAAGTGAACAACAACTTTCAGCTGTGGAGCTCCATTCGCTGGCACTTTTTTTTATAAAAAATTACGCCAGGGTCTCCAGCTGGCAAACAACGGTGTTCACTCTCTTGTTGTTCAAATCATAATAATAACAACAATAATAATAATAATAATAATAATAATAATAATAATAATAATAATAATAATAATAATAATATATATATATATATATGTTTTAAAGGCGCCTGCCCTTCAACAATCGGACTCAATAGTTGCATTCTGAACATCTTTTGTTTTCCCGGAACTCAAAGGGGTCCGCTTTCCTATTACTAGGGAACGCAGTCTGCAATAGTCTTGCCCAAAAACTAGGGGACCCCAAGAAAAACAACCCTCAGTTGTTTTTTTCTTGAGGTGGGGGGGGTTCATTGTTAGGGGAAGGGATCATATGACAGGAGCTTGCATTTAACAAGTTTCAGTCCGGGTGAGCAAGTTCCGGGATATTGTACGAGACCGATGATTATGAGTTGTTTAATGCCATGTGGGACCTTGTCGTTTGTCAAGGGGCATTCCCAAAGGGCTCCACCATTTTGTCAAGCCCCCCCCCCTTACTCACCGGAAGGGGAGTTTTGGCATGATAATTTCACCCTGGCCACATCTGGTCGTTGCGCCTCGTAGGTCGAAACCCGTGTCCACGCACAGTGAGCGACTGCGGGATAGTTCCACTGCCAAATCGGGACGGTGTGAGCGACCTGAGAAAGTGCCGTCCGCGCCGACTGCCTGCGGTACCAAGACTTGTTTACCCTCTGTTTGATAATTTTCAGGGAAACCAACTAGCAGGGATACCCGGGAACCAGGGATACGGGAGGATTCCCCTTAAATGACCTTGACTAAGTTTGATATGGGAAATGGCGCCCAGGGCATCCCCCCATATCGGGACCCGCTCCCTCCGTATCCGTATCCCCGCTTTGTCGTTTGTCCAAGATTTCCTCACCAGCAAAACACCAAGTAGCGGTTGAAATCTGTTCAAGAGAACCCCTTCAGCCTCTGGAGAACCCTCCTCCCAAACAATTTGTAGTGATTTTTGCAGGATCTGGACCCCGAAATGATGGCTTTCCTAGTTGTGTTCCTTTGAAATCAGTGGACAGAAAATGAAACACTTTTGTTTTTTCTTTTTTCTCGTGTGGGCCAAGGATTGAAAGTGCCACTTGAGATGACCAGGTGCCGTTTTTTACCGCCCGAGGTTCTGAGGTCCAAATAGGTCCAGTTGGTGCCACACGTGGAATCTCCTTTGCAGGTGTTAATTTGCGGGTGTTAAACTTCCCCAGAATTAGCTTCCCTTTTTGTTTTTTTTGCTTTTTTGGGTTCCCTTTGTTTTCCACTAACCAGGCAAAAAAGATACTTTTTTTGCTGGGGTCCTAATTCCAGCCTAGTAAAGTTCTCCGAGAGGTGGCCTGGTTTTAGTGCGGCACGAGGCAACAAGCCATTTCACGGTTCCCCTGGGTTCCCCGATTTTGTTTTGCGAGACAAAAAAAAACATTCTAGGTCCTCCAGTAGTGCCCTTTCTCACCCCTTTTTTGGGGGAGGGTTCCCCTACTAAAATAGGCTACAGCAAAAAAGGGTACCCTTATTCTATCCTCTCCACTGAAGGACCTAGCATTTGTTGGAAACCAAGAATAGCTGCATTGTTCACATTGGAGCAAAGATCGGGTCACGCCCTCAAGTCGACTTGACATGCGCGCCGGAATTGCCTCATGGTGGTTTTCATACGCCGCCTTCTTCGCCGCAGCTTTTCTTTGAATGAATGTATCCCGGACAATAACAGCCGGCTTTGCGCCCACACATAGCCAAACACCCTGGAGGGAGAACAGCACCCTCAGCACCCACCAAACAAAAGATGCCGCGTTTGTGTTTGTGGCACGGTCATGACGCGTTTGAATTTGGATCCTTAGCCATGCAACCCCCAATTGGTCCCCCAGTAGTGCCCTTTCTCACCCTTTTTGGGGGAGGGTTCCCCTACTAAAACAGACATAAAAACAAGTTGGTACCCTTATTCTAACCTCTCTACTGGAGGACCTAGCCCAAAGAACAGGGGCACAGCCCCGCGCGGAACATCAACACACACACAGACACAGACCCACGCAGACTCTTTCCACTGCATCGCGCGTTTCTGCCGCGAAAAAGGGATCTGCGGTGGACGGCGGGGGGGATGTCGAGTCGCCGAGGGCGTGGGGAGATTGCCGAAGAGCTCCTGGGGTCTAGGGCCCGTGACTTCTTGGCACCTTGAATGGTTCTCAGAGCCCTTTTGCCCAAGAAGGTAACCGTTCGCAGGGGTTGGGGGGGGGGGCAGAAAGGCACAGTGCTGGGAAATGGAAATTGATGCCCCCATGTCCCTCTTCCCTACAGCTTCTTTGGCCGGGCTTGAAAACCAACAGATGGACCTTCCCCCAAAAGTAGACACGTGATCTTCCATTTGCTTAAGAAGATGTTTTATTTTTCCTGTTGGCTTCAATGGGAATCTATCACTATGGATTTTCTTCTCCAGGGGGCTGAAGAAAATGGAGGCGGTTTCTGGCTCTTTTGGTTCAATCCCTGAACCGTGTGTTTGTTGAGTTCGGAAGCCGGCCCCGATCGATGGTTCTGCTTTGCTCGATCGTCTTGTGTCCGGACAGGCCTAAGGCAGCAGGCAGTAGGGATTTTCCTTTGCCTTTAATGGAAGTGCCCCTGTCCGGAGTTGAGCCATGTTTCTTTTTGACACAAATCATACCGAGTGGATAACAAGCTCAACCATGACAAGGCTTATTTGGGAACCATCATGTGCGCTTGGGAACAAAATGGTCTGCAAGCGAATGCTCGCAGAAACCCGCCATTTGGAAGCTATCCCAGGATTGGAGAGACTGACCATACAAGTCAAGCCGTAGCTTAAGGCAAGGGCGTATTTTGCACACACGTATTTCTAGCTGACCAAAATGGATCCAATTCTCATGTGTTGACCCTTGGCAATGGATTTGAAAGATATTGAGGAAATTCACCACAACATCCACTTGGTCCACCTTGTGATCGGATGGCACGGTTTGTTTGCCCGTTCTGGAATCGGTAGGGCCGGTAGGGGGTGGGTAGTTGAGAGCCCGTTTCAAGCGTCCTTAGGGTTTTCCTGGGTTCAGGGAGCCTTAGGGAAAGCACCCGCCGTGAAACAAATACAGCGGCAAACAAGGAGAACTCTTTGGCAGCTTCGAAGTCTGGCAAAGAGACCTCTAAAGTTCTACGCGACCCCTTTTGCACCATGTTGATCAATCTTGGGGGGTCCAAATCCGAAACAAAGACACACCCATGTAGTTTTGCAGCGTGATTGACTGCGCTCAAGGTTTTTTGGGAATGCCGGTTCTCTCACTTGCCCAACGCGAACCTCTTGACCTTTTGGTGTCCCTCTGTTGGACCATTTTTAGTCATGGCAACCCAAAAGGCAAACCTTTTATTTCTGGGTCCCTAAGGGGCAACTGAGTTCTGGCTCCACACCTGAATGTTCATATTGAAATCTCTGGATGCCTACCCCCTAAAAAAAAATGGGCAAGGGAGGTGACCTTGGATAAACCATCTATAGATATTGGGACCTGAACGCCCGCCCCCCTTGTTGGGGGGATATTGGGAGGGTGAGCAGAGTTCAGCGGTTTCCCTTTGGCGTCGTGAAAAGCGACCCAACGGTCCAGTTCCCCAAACAGGGAGTGGCTCCCATCCGGTTGGCCGGTTGGTTTAGTGGTACCTGGACCTTCAAACTACCAAACAAGAGTTGGTTCTTGCCCCAAAATGAGAGTTGATAAATCCCCCTTTTTTGGGTAGCTTAAAATTTCCCGATGGTTTCCACACCAGTGTCCGACTTGTAGCATCGCATTTGGGAACAGCGCAAGGCTCCAGGCGATTCCTTTTGCGCTCGATGGACCCAGAGGCGGGTGAAGCCGAGAAGCCGTCCTGCGAAACCTACAACTCGGTCCCCCAGCGAAAGGGTCCCCTTTTAACCCGTTTCTTTTTTGGTTGGGAGATTCGGTTCCCCTAAAATAGACTACAGAAGACAAGGGCACCCAAGTTCTAAGCTCTCTACTGGAGGACCTAGACAAGGCGCAGTGCTTGTGTACCTGAACCCTGAAACTGGCAACAGGGAAGCCACCCTACAACTGTGGAAGGCCCGAGCCCTGAAAACAAGACACGCTTGCTGGGTAATCAGGGCTTGGGCTTAAACCAATGCACCTCAAGGGAGAGCTCTTTCCCAAGCCACCGATGCACCTCATGCCCTAGGAGAAGCCCTCCGCCACGTGTCCAAAAAGCAGTTTTTTGCAAAAACAACATGAGCAAGTGCAGAGTCATAACCAAAACCAGGTATGAACATGGACCTAACACCTGTGGCAAAGAGTGAACAAGCAGGCAACAAGTCCATGCACCCGTGCAACCCATGGGGCATTGTCTCTCTCCAATACAGGGCTCCTTAAAAGATACATTTTGCTAATTTGAAACATGGCTTTTTCCACCAAAATAAAGGGAAACCACCATTTACAAGGCAATGTTCAGGTGTATAATGTAAGGATCCCTGCAATATGGCTATGATTTTAATAGGAAACCACCTGAGCCGTGATGAATGGGCATGAATCCCCAGCATCCCCATGCACCTGTTGGGATTGTCCCTATCCAACATCTACCCGACTTTTTGATCCCACCCATTTAGCCGTTGCGCCGTCGCTCGCCGTCGCCCGCCGCGCGACCCGACGTGCGCCGTCCGACGTGTCTCGTCAGTTGCTGGCGAAACTCTCACGGCGCCTCCGTGCCGTAGAGGGCGATGCCGCCAAGGAGCCCGGAGCCGACGGGGGCATTTCAGGGCGGCGGGGGGGGGTTGGTTTGGGGAGGGGGGTTGGGGGTAGGGTGTGTGTGTGTGTGTGTGTGTGTGTGTGTGTGTGTGTGTGTGTGTGTGTGTGTGTGTGTGTGTGTGTGTGTGTGTGTGTGTGTGTGTGTGTGTGTGTGTGTGTGTGTGTGTGTGTGTGTGTGTTTTTGGGGGTGTGTATGTATTTGTGCCTTTTTTTTGTGGGGGGGAAGTTGCAAGAGGGTTTCCTGGATTGAAATGTCCATTTGTATCCCATTTGCTCAAAATGATCGTCTTTAGTGTCCACTGTTGGCTAAGGCAATCTATCACGACTGGAAGTATTGCTATCAAATGGAGGTTCCTTGAAGTTACTTGAAGTTTCTTACGCGCTGCGGAAGCACGTGGCCAGATGGGTTGTTTATGACATCTCCTTTTGGCTGACAACAACTTTTGGCGGGAGACCCTGGAAAATTTGCGGAGAAAGAGTTGGAGCTATGTGAGGTAGCTTCAAAGTTACCGCCATTGACTTTATGTAAGAGTGTTTCATGCTCGTGTTTGTTTGTTTTTGCGTGTTTTTCTCCAGAAAGGGAAAAAATCCGCCCCCTCCCCCCCCCCCAAAAAAAAAAAAGAAGAAGGAGAAACAAAAACGATACGGAACGTCCAAAAAACAGATCCCCCGAAGCCCGAGAAACAAGTCTGAACGACGAGACGGGACGTCCTACCGTCGGAATGAATACACCGCAGACAAGTATCCTTGACGTACCAAGACACTGGTCCACTACTTTGGCTGGCAGGACACCTTGAGCCTTAGCTTCCTGAATATGTAGCCTCAGCCACAAAATCTCGCCAGAGACACGTCCTTCTTTCAGCGCTGAACATCTGTATTTGTTTAGATGTTCAACCTCCGCAAGTCGGCACTGACTAGGTCCCCCAGCTAGGTGCCCTTTCTCACCCTTTTTGGGTTGGGAGGGTTCCCCTACTCTGAAAAAAGTGGGTACCAACTTCTTCTAACCTCTCTACTGGAGGCCCTAGCTGAGTGTCATGGTGTTCTCATTTTTGTCCAGAACCCTTCCTCAAAGAGAGCCATGGGATCTTTTGGGTGGCTGGGGCTCGGGGCTTTCTGGCGAAGCGCCAGATGCCGCCATCTTCCCGTTGTCCAACCGAGAGCAAGGCTGGGCAAACTGAGACAAAGGCAGCATAGAGGACTCCTTAAATTATGGGGGCTGGGGGGGAGGGAGGGGAGGGGGAGGGAGCCCAAATCAGCCCTAAAGGCCTGAATAAGGGCTTTATAAGGTTTTTGTTGGGCTCCCTCCCTTCCCCCCCAGCCCCCATGATTAAAAGAGATTGAACGACGCAAGTCGGCCATGTTCAATCTTGCAACTTGGTGGCTCCCAGCCATCTGGTTCCTTAGCTTTTTGGCTTTTTAGCTTTTGAGTGGGGTTTGCCATTTAGCCCACTAAAAGTTCAACTTTTAGCGAGGGATCTGAGGACAGCTCTTGCAAGTCGGCCATTCTTAGGGCGAACTGTTCGGGTGGATACTGCAAGAGCCCCAGGTCGTTGCTTGTTTTACGTGGATGCGCACTCATTACCCAAAATTCAGGGTCATTGCCCAAAATTCAGGAGTCATTACCCCAAATTCAGGAGTCATTCCCCCAAATTCAGGGGTCATTCCCCAACATTCAGGGGTCATTACCCAAAACTCAGGGGTCATTACCCACAATTCAGGGGTCATTACCCCAAATTCAGGGGTCATTCCCCAACATTCAGGGGTCATTACCCAAAACTCAGGGGTCATTACCCAAAACTCAGGGGTCACTACCCACAATTCAGGGGTCATTCCCCAAAATTCAGGGGTCACTACCCAAAGCTCAGGGGTCATTACCCCAAACTCAGCGGTCATGGACCAAAATTCAGGGGTCATGGACCAAAATTCAGGGGTCATTACCCAAAATTCAGGGGTCTTTCCCAAATGTCAGGGGTCATGGACCCATGGACCCATATTTTTGAAGGGTCAGAAGGAGACTCTGGGTGGACCGACTCTGACCACTCCATGAGGCAATGTAGATCCACGGCCCCTCGCTCCCCTGCGCGCAGGTCCCAGGACGGCTGCAGTGCCCACGGCAGCTGGGGCAGCGTTTCGGTGCCATGCACGGTTTTTGCGTCCCAAAAAGTAGGGGACATTGCAAAATGCCTGGGTTTGAGGGGTCCCTTCGGAAAGATGCACGTACATGGGTATGGGTCAAAACTATGGAAGGAATTGGATCGCAGGATTGAATGTCCATGTTTCCATTTACCAATTTACATCCCAATTCAAGTTCTTGTGCAGCCCCAAGGCTGTCAACACCGGACCAAAGTCATGCGGGGTCCATCTCCCTGTCGATGATTTAAGGAGTGGTTTTGCCGGCCGAGTGTTGTTTTTGGCGGGCAGTTGCTACATTTGAGTGAATTTGCTGAAAGGGGGGCAGTGTTTAGTTGCTTGAGACACTTATGACGCTGCCGGCCAACACGAATGACTGGGTGCCTTCCCGTTCACCAACACAGAAGCAGACTGAAGGGTCCTGCAACACGATTCTCCTTAGGGACCCTTTGGGTTCCATGGCTACGTGGACAGGAGGACAAATCCCTTGTCCACACGCAGCAGGTACCCTGGGAGGTTTTTTTTGGGGGGGTTCAAGTGGGATCCTTAACGCGGACCCCGAACTCGGACCTGGGATCCAAACGAACTCTGCTCGGTTGCAGCTTCTTTTTGGCTCATGGGTTGGTGTTGTATCGGGTATTTTCTTACTCGCCTTGCATTCTCTGCCAGAGCTTTCTCCTTGCTCCTTTTATATTTTTGTTTGCTTCGGGATGTCAAGTATGTTTCCATAGAACATGTGTTTGGGGGGGTGTGGGGGTGGCTCGATTTGTGTAGGTTGGGAGCAAACAGAAGGCCTGCCCTGCCTTTGCAGAAGCTGAGATATCCCCTGCCTTGGGAACCCTTCCTGCAAGCTCCGAAGTACTCCGGAGCTCAGTCGGTTGGGGAGAAACCTTTTGCTTTCTCAATCTCCCGATGTATTCGGGAACCATAGGTGTCCTTTTTGGTTGTTTTGGTCGAAAAATAGATGGCGATTCCTGGTTTACCTGTTGGTTTAATCATCTACCAGGGAAACCCATCTATTTCCCCAAAAAGGACGCCTATGACGGGAACATTCACAGAGATTCCGACGTGGGAAGCTGCTTCTTTGCTTCCGATCCCTTTTTTGCACCCCCACGAAAAGGCAAAAAATGGGAAGGGGGGTAGATTCAGAGGTGGAGGCTTAAGAGCTCGGAGTATCATTTTGAGGACCTAAAAGCCCCTACTACTTTCCCAAAAGCGCTGAGAAAAAAAAAAGCACGGAGGATGGAGTTCACTAAAAAAAAAACATCCGGAGTCGAGTCTTGGGGGGTCCAGGGAAGTGATTTTTTTTCCCAGGGTGGGCAGTATCTTCGCAGGTAGTTTAGCCTTTCAACCCCCTCAAGCACCGCCATCAAAGGCTAGCGAAGGGAGAGACTCTGGAGCTGAAATACAACATCAAGAGCTTTAAGTATCCAAAACAATCCATTTGCTGAATAATATGTTTGTTTTTCCCTCTTGGTTTTAAAGGGGACCCGGGATCTACTGTGGTCCTGCACCACTTTGAAACCATGGGAAACCATTGTTTGTTGGTATTTGCAGCGGGAATCATCATTATGTGGTTTGTTAGGTGATGCAGGATTTCGTCCATCCACAGTATCACTACTTGAAGCATTTTTTTTTAACCAGAGGGCACAAAACGCACATGGACGGAACACAAATCCCCGGAGTTTGGAATTTTGGTGGGGCCGGATTCGTTCGGGTCGTATCATTCGGGATTCCTTCCCAGGTCCTGGTACATGCCGCGGCAGGAAAGCAGCGCCGCAACTCCCGGGGGGTTCTGAGAGAGAGAGAGAGAGAAAACGCAACCTGAATGTTAGGACAAAGTGAGGATGGCAACCCACCGTTCTCCCACCAAGAAAGGGGTACACAGAGAATCCATATGTGTTCCGCTTGTGTTTCATATTTGGGTATGGGTCAAAATTATTCAGGATATGAACCGCATATTTTAGTTCTTGTGACTTCATGTACCAGGGCAAGTCATTTTTGGGGTTACCCTATTTTTGACCAGCTATGTTGCATTGTACAAACGAGAACAATGATGATAAACAAGAATATGGTCCACAAATGATAGTGGACAGATTGCAAACTCATAAAGGCAACAATTAGATGCTACTCATAGTGATGATATGTTTGATGCCTTGCTTCTGTTTGTTCACATATATATATATATATACATAGCTTGCCACTTTGGCTTGTTTGGCTCACAGGAGGTGCATGGAGTTGGCACATATACACGATGTGTCGTAGCCGTAAGTCCGAGAACTAACTTGTTGGATGCGGCGAGTTTGTGATTGACAATTCGTGAGCCGTCCCGCCAGAGATGCTCGTCGAAGCTTTCAGGCAGACTGCTAACCGTCAAGTGGAGCCCCAAATGGGGACTCTAAAGGTAGAAGTGTCTTTGGTTCCATGTCAGCGGATTGACCGACCAGGCAGTGCTGACTGACGTCTGGGGCTAGATTTTGTTTCACGACTTGACTCACCAGTGTCAACCATGACAGGGCTCCTTAAAAGATCTCCATGTTGCACCCATTTGAAACATGTGGCTTTTTCAACACCAAATTAAAGTTGGAAACAACACCAAATAGACAAGTTGCAATGCTCGATCGGTGTTTTTCATGCATCCGGATCCCTGCATGGCAAGAGCCATTTTTCAAGCATGGCATCTTGGGGGCCGCAGGAACTGATCTCAGGGGCGCTATTGTCCTACGGATGGGCAAAATCCGTGAGCACCTAAGAAGCCATGGCTTGGCGCCATTCCTTTTGTTTGTGTTATACAGGGGAAGCATCAGAAACCAGGGTTTCGGGTTTCTGGGTTTTTTCAGGTGCTGCGAAATAAGTTTCGCACAGTATGTCCATTGGCCCGATGCAACATGTTTGACGCCTAGCCCTTCTAGGTCCCGAAGAGGTGTCTTAAAAGCAACTGAGGGAGGTCTGAAGTATTCTGAAGTAGGGAGTGGATATAGCAGTCCTAAGGGAGGGGGGGGGTAAAGGGGGGGTAGCATTTCATAACCCTTGTCCTGAGCAACCCAGAAGCCCAACGCTTCTTGGACTCCCTTGGCAGTGGGCAGGATACCGGAAGCACAGAGCGCACAAGCACCGCGCAAGACAACGTCGCAACGGGGTGGCGCCCACGACGGGTCGTTTTCTGGGGATCCCTCATGACGGGCCATGACGGGTCGTTTTCTGGGGATCCCTCATTTCGCAGCATTGTCAGTAACACCGCAGAAAGCGAATGGGCCGTTTGGTTTCATCTCCCAGCCCCATCCCCCGGTCTTCGATCAGTTTTCTGGAAATCAGCTCGGCAGTACTCAGTAGGCCTTCGAAGGGTCAACGTTCTGCTTCTTTAGGCTTCCGCCTTCTTTGTAAGGCCTTCATAAGAAACCAGGTATGGTGGATGTCCCAAATATTATTCCAAGTAAACCAACCATACTCTACCACAAAACCATAGTAAATCACTGTAAATTAGAGGGTGTCCTTATTTCTTACTTGCATTATTTGGGACATATTCGCCGATTTTTGGGGACCAATTGTTGGATTTGGGGGAGGGGTTGGAATCCCTACTTCGGGTGAGAAGGAAATCTATGACACGGTTGAGGTATCCTCAATTTTCAAGATTAAATCGCCAACCATAATTTTGCGGAGAATCCCCATTTGTACTGGCATTTCGAGGGTCCAGGAAAATACTTCTGAGTATCACCCATTTCTATGCATCCTTGCATTCATGTCCTACATCTTCGGTTTTCACTCGTCTACTACTCACTATAACCCCCAAATGGTACCCAACAGGAGCCACGCCAACCACCGAACACTCAAAGGGCACTTGGTTCCTCTCATTTGTTCCCCATTTACTGGGTTGCAATGCCAAGCATGCAACCTTGACCACATTTGTAGTTATCTAGGTCCCCCAGTAGTGCCCTTTTACCCTTTTTTGGGGGAGGGTTCCCCGACTAAAATAGACTACAGAAAAAAGGGTACCCTTATTCTAACCTCTCTACTGGAGGACCAAGTTATATAGGCTTAATTTGTGAATCTCATCCCCTTGGCCAATGAAGCTGGCGTGGCATGTTTCCGAGGAATCTGACATGGATTCACCAGGCGGGACCCGTTCCGCCCCCTTTCGACCACGTTTTTTTTGTTCCCCCGGTTTCAAACATCACCTGCTTGGGAGAAAGGTGTTTTTCCCTTGAAATCGGAGTAAGGTGCTAGGCACCCTCAAAAATCCAGCTCAAAAATGGGTTTCCCCCAAACTGATGGTTGGTGATTTCACCCTTTGTATGAGTTGGAGGGTCCAGGTAACCCTGTCAATCGTCGTCAAACTTGAGCAAGTCGCTTTAATGTTCATTCGATAGGGGTATGAAGGGACTCACTCAATTTTATCCAGGGGACTTACTAGATTCGTCCTGTGGGGGGACACTCACTTTGTCAGTGGCTGGGTTGCAAAGAGTTTTCACTTCATTGCCACCAGAAGCTTTGTTCTCCTCTTGGTGGTGAAACTTCAGTGAAATTGAATGGAGTGATGAAGTGAAATGATTCCTCTCTTGGCAAAGAGTTTTCACTTCATTGCCACCAGTGGTCAGGCATCCAGAACGCTTGTTCTCCTCTTTGGCCCACGGTTTCGCTCAATGCGGCCTCTGGTCGAGTCCAAAATTTGGCCTTTGGGCCCAAGCAGCTTCGCCGCTCTTTGGGGCTCTCAGTTGTTCAGTGGCGCCCTTTTTCTTTTTCTCTTTTTGTTGGTGGCTGCACTAAAAAATGGTCCAAGCCCCCCAAAAAATGGCCCAAGCCCCAAAAAGGGTTCCCCTTTTTTCCCAGGGTCACTGAACAACGTGTTGGTTGCCGGAACCTGTTGGGCTGGAACGGCAGCTGCATCTTGATCGCCAAGTTCAAAAGTCTAAGGCCAAGCGCCGGGTTGCAAGAGCCGAACCGAGCGGCGAAGAGTTCATTTTTTAAGGATTGGTGGGCTGGTTGGCTGTTAGTTGATTGGTTGCTTGGTTGGTTTCTTGGGTCACCCAAAAGAAAAGGACCCCCCCCCACTTTTTGAATCAGAGAGGGAAGGCACCGAACAGTTCTTTGCTTAGGGACCTCTTTGATTTAGGACGAAGTGCCCTTATTTTGAAAATGGATCATAGCACCCAAAACATGAATCGAGGGCACTGAAAAGAAGCTGGTTGCCGCATTTTGCCCAACGGATGTTAGGACTGACTTTAACTGTTTGCCAACTCATGGGGGTTTTCCGGATTAAACCACTAAAAGTTAGTCACTTTTAGCAGGGGAGCAGAAAGAATCCGAGAGTTTCAGTTCCGTTCGAGTTCTTGGACTTGAAACATTTGAAGCCGCTTTGGACCATTTAGTGGTAAAGAAAAAGTTTGAGGACCCAGGAGAAAAAAGGCAGCCTTTTCACCAGGACGGACAGCCACTCCTTAAATAGATCCCCCTGTAGTGCCCTTTTTGACCCCTTTTTGGGGGGAGGGTTCCCTTACTAAAACCTCTCTACTGGAGGACCTAGTCAAGGAATGAACCTCGTCTCAGTGCCGTTCGAGTTCTTGGACTAAGCTCGATGTCTCGCTCTGCTTCCTCAGGCATCCGCCCGAAGAAAGTGCGGGTGCCGTAGCTGAGATGGGAAGCTCGGGGCCTCGCGGGATCTTGAGACCTTGGGTTATCCATTGCCCCATTGCACCCACAAACATATGTAGCTGGCTGTGGTTGTCAAAACCCATGGGATCCCATTTTGGGGTAGGTGAATTCACCACCCATCTTAGAACCTATTTTAGTTGGGATTGGGATGTTCACTGGCGGTACGGGCTTTTGACCCATGGCCCATGGCCATATATTCACTTTTTGCAGACCGGTCAACAAGAACCAAATGATTATAATATAAGGCTCATGGGAAAACAACGACTGTTTTAGGGGGCCCAACAAAATGGTGGGTTCCTTTTAGTTCCCGATTGAAAACCACCTTCAAAAATAGACACAACCAACTAGTTGCTAATATCTTTCCTAGAATCATGACTAAAACCGGTCTTAAAGTGCGCCACAACTCCCATTCTAATATTTTTTAGGCCCTTATACTCTGTGGTTTGGTCTAATTGCCCGTTGCTCGTTGTATGGTTTGTTTGGGAGGGACATGGGGCACCGGACTCGTCCATTTGAGCGCAAACAAACACGCAAAGCAGAAGGGGACCTCCCCAACTTGTTGCGTTTTCCCATTTTTTTTCAGCAACTTCAACCTTGAGAGCAACTCTCATGGGTTCCAGGTTGTTGAACAGGGCTCCTTAAACGAAATTCATTTTGCAACCATTTGCAACATGTTGCTTTTTCCACCAAATTAAAGGGAAACCACCATTTACAGGGCAATGTTCAGGTGTATAATGTAACGATCATTGCTAGAAACCTCCAATTGGGGTTTTGGACGTTGAGGTTTGGTTGTTTCCTCGAATTCAACGCTCCAAATTGGGAATTTCTCCAATTGGGTGGTTTCCTCTCATTGGAGGTTTGGTTGTTGAATTTCATAACTTCATTTGCGCATTGGACATCATTTAGGTGCGGATGCTTGTCCACCAACCACTTCGGAGGTGGTTATTAAAACATATTATGGGTTTGTATCAAGCTAGTCTTGGACCCCCCCAACTTGGTTGGTTTCCGAATGTCAAAACCACCCAACAAGGAGTTCTTCAAAAATAGGCGCCACACGTAAACGGGAGGGGTTGATCAAAAGGTCCGTGATACATGGGATGGCCATTGGAGGACACCATTAAAAACATGATATTCCCCACATGTGAAAAGTTAATGTTAACCCCCGATTAATAAACCCCTGGTTAATTAATAGGGGGGTGTCCCCTTTTAGAGTGGATTCATCACTTTTGGAGGAACCCCCCCAATAGTGGGACGAGTTTATTAATACTGGGGGTACGGGCTTTTGACCCATGGCCACATGTGAAAAGTTACCCATGGGCAAAAGAGGGGGGCCAATGGAATATTGATCAACCGATCAACCCCGAAAGATTTTTCAACCGGACTTGGCTGGACGTAAGCGACGCGGCGCTACTTTTTTTTTCCACCCAGATGGGCTTTAGCTGCCTTTCAGGCATGTCTTTGGCGGGTTACCACAACCTAAAGCTTCTCCATAAAGGGTTTTTAAGAGACGCATACAGATGGTTGACATGGACGTGGTCTTGCTTTTGGTGCCCCTGTCCGAATGGCAGTCTCGCATGACGCAATGGCAGCAGAGCATGACAGCAATGGCAGTCCATGGCATGCAGGGGACAACAAATGGCTGTGGCTCAAAAAACCGGCACCAAAATGGGTTGCCCTGGTAAGTGGAACCATGGACCAAAACCCGCGGTTTGCCCCCCCTGTTTAATTTTGAGCCACAGCCAAAAGTTTTTGACAGCCAGACCTGACATAAGGATGAGGTTTAGACCCTGGGCAACCAACAGGAGGTTGTTTCAGCAATGGCTCGGGCCATTTGAAGGGACGCCCCAAGCCATCAGGATTGGGTCCAAGAGAGGAACGCCGTCATGGCTAGAGACTCAGATCCCAAATCGAATGGTCTCGCTTCCGTTCGAGTTTCTGGAGCTTTCAACTTGGGAAGACCATGGCAAACAAGAAGTTTGGACTTGTTGTGCCATCCACTCAGGAAGTGAGTCCCATCCACTCAAGTGAGTGGTGTTATGCAACCTTCATGTTTTAGACCTCAGAACGACAATTTGACACATGCCCGAATCTGGGCATGTGTTTTTGTTGATGGTACTTTTTCAGGTTGAATGGAAAGCACAAGGAAACCACTTTTCTTGTTTTGGACACATACCCATGTATATTGTACTCGATTGAATTGTTGTGTTTCCTCTCTCTGTGTGTTTTTTAGTTGAAAGACGGTTCTAGTCCCCCCAGCTAGTGGCCTTTTCTCACCCCCTTGTTTGGTTGGGAGGCTTCCGAACCCTACTAAAATCGACGTCCTTAAAAAAGTGGGTACCAACTTATTCTACAGAGAAAAAAATGGGTACCAACTTATTCTAACCTCTCTGGAGGACCTAGGCTTGCAAGGGACACCACACCGCAAAGCGCGCATGCATCCCCTTAAGCTTCGAGGTGCCGGAGTGGGTGGTGGAGGCGGGAAATGGACGGGACGTATTTTTTGTTTTTTGGTTTTGCTTTTTGGGTTCCAAAGGGTTTTTTTCCCCCCCCCCCCCCCCGAAAGGACCTCCAGTGCTCTTGGTTCCTTGTTTCAGCGGGGAACCAGTTATATGTGCTCCGCACGGAGTGTGGCCGTTTTCTCCCACAGCCACTAGCGGGTTGGCTTTCTGAGATATCAACAAAGAGTCGGCATCGATGGATGGCGCGAATCTGTGAAACCATTTCCTCGACACGGGATCCTGAAAATTACTTCAAACTGTCTCCAGAAGGTTGAAGGACTTTTTGAGGATAGATTTGGGTGACTATTTGGCTATTTCACTTGTCCGAACCCGGCCTTTGACCTTTGGGTTTTCCCATGTTGCTCCATTTTGAGTAGAGGTCCCAAAACCTTGACCTTTGAACAAGTGAGCCAAAAATTGGGCGCTTGGGCCGACAAGGTCGGGGATGACTGAAAAGGCCGCCCGTACAGTGGATGGACGAATTCCTGCATCACCTGAGAAACCATAGAATGATGATTCCCCTGAATACCAACAAACCGTGGTTTCAACCATGGTTTCCACGTGGTGCGGTCTCGGATTTCGTCCAACAGTATCTTGGGCCGGGTGAAGCAAATGAAGCCTCGGGTTTGGCTGGGGATCGAGAGAAGTCCAGCTGGTTTTGTCTGAGTCTCAACTTGTCCCCCAAAGTGGCTGGGATGTTGAGTGGCTTCCTTTTTCCCCCTTTGCTTCTGGGATGGTTTCCCTTTGCTCCCTTTTTCTCGCGCTTTTTTCCTTTTTTTTGGGGGGGGGATAGTTTCCCTTTAAAGCAAACCACAAAAAAAATGGTTCCCTTTTTTCCCTGGTCACTCAACATCTAAGATGGCAATGGTGCCCTGTTGGCTTCCCAGCAAAACCACAAAAAAGTAAAAGGATATAACTCACATGTTTTGGGATATCTTGGCGAGACCTCTCCGAAGGGTTGGGCGCCACGTCACCAAGTGCCCTGCCTCATTGTGATAGCCTCCACGTTGGAACAGAACCTGACGTGTTGGGGCTGAAGACTATGTTCCTTTTGAATAAGAATCTCTGGTGGGTTCCATGCTAGTGGACGGGAGTTGTTGTTGTTGTTGTTGTTGTTGTTTTTGTTACTTATATATTTGTTTATTTATTTTGTTCTTTTTTTGGGGTGCGCCAGGGGTCCCCCCTTTTAAAGTCCACAACGAGTGGCCTTTTTTGCCATGGGGAAATTCCCTCTTTTTGGATCCCTTGAACATATTACCAGTGGTAGGGTCTGGATGAAGCCACTTCCGCCCAAATTGGGCGCAACCTTTGCGAAGCCATCTCCTTGCAAGCATCTACAGGTCGAAGCTGAGGCGCGAAACTTCTAAGTTTCACATACCTAGAGGAGCCCTCGGTGATGGTGAAACCCCAAATAATTGCCAACAATTTGTCCAAATGAAATGCTGCTAGATGGCAATGCTCCAGTTGGTTTTGCTTGAATATGGCAAGCTCGTTTATGAAGCTTGGTATTCCAAGGATGGTTTTGGTGGTTAAATCTTTGCGATCTACAGTAGTAGCAGGGGCTGCTATGGGGTTGCACTATGTCATTAGAGGAATCAAAGACTATTCACTGGCTCCAGGCAGGTTAAATTCTTACAGGTTAAACTATTCTACAGTAGTAACAGGGGCTGCTATGGGGTTACACTATGTCATTAGGGGAGTCAAAGACTATTCACTGGCTCCAGGCCAGTTTAAATTCGCCCAACTGTCAGACCAGAGCCCATTTTCCCTTTGCTGGTTTGCGGGTGGAAAGCCGCGTAGGGTGGTCACTCCACTGCCAGGGTTGCCGCAGCTATCCGATGGAGCGCTGTACGCGGGGAGTCTCAGAAAGCCTAGCAGGAGGGCGAATGGTCGACCGGCGGGGGTAGAAACCCCTGCTCCAAAGTGATGCACTCACTCCCGTTCGAGTTCCCAGTGCTTTGGTTTTAGTCCACTTCCGGTCGAGTTCCGGGACTCGGACTTTGGCGCTTTAGGTACTTGTTGGGGTTTGGACCGTTTGAGTGGTGAACAAACAGTTTGGGGACTTTTTGGGCCCATCCACTCAGAATGTGAGTGCAGGACTACCCAATCGGAACCAAGTTATTTTGTCGGGCGCTCGGGTAACAGCTTTTGACCGCTCACGACTCATGTTGATCTGACATTCATGTTGGGAAGAAGGCACATACTGCAACAACCCATGTGGTTGCTTCTGTTTTTTTCTGCCATGGGAGAAGCGACGCACAATACATGAGATACGCACTAAACGCTTTACCAGGTGTTCACCCAGAGCTGCTAGCTCTTGTCCTTCGTACAGCGCCCCGCATGGTGCAAAGGAGTCGTCGGGTGCTGCTGGTAAGTGAAGCTGTATATGTCTAGGGGACCCGGGTCCCCTCCCAAGCACATTTTAGGCAAAAGGCAAGGGCTGAAACATGTATTCTAGGTCCCCCGGTAGTGCCCGTTTACCCTTTTTTGGGGGAGGGTTCCCCTCCTAAAATAGACTACAGAAGAAAGGGTACCCTTATTCTAACCTCTCTACTGGAGGACCTTGTCACGCAAAAGGCAAAGGCCGAAGCATGTATTTGATGTGACTTCGGTTTCGTCAACATATGTTGGGATGTTGCTGTTCTTGAGCAGATGTGGGGGCGTGTGATGTCATGACTTGCTGCCATAGTAACACCCCGTAGTTGGTGATTTGTGTACTTATTGATGTATGTGTTTATTTATTTATTTATTTATTTATTTATTTATTTGACCACATGGTATTTATTCACTAATTTTACCCGCCGTGAGAGTAAGTTATACTCCTGTTCTCGAGAAACCGGGAAAGCCGCCCTTCCTTCGACTTGAAAAAACGCCGCCGAGCGCTTCAGCTGGCCGGCGCGCCAGCTGCCAGGACGGCGCCGGCCTGGTACCCGCGAACAGGAGAGACGGGGGTGGTCGTTGGGAAACGGCTTTTACGTATTTTTGATCTTATTGTGGTTTAGTGGTTGAAATCCAAATCCACTGAAATGCTAAGATTCGCTCGAATTTTTGCTGCCCTAACCCAACGTCAACCAAGATTAGTTGGAGTCACAATCAACCGCCGGGTACACGAAGGTTGATAAGGGGCAGTCCCAGCCATAAATGGGTGCGGCCGCCTTTTAATTACCTTACATGGTTTTGGATAGACAATTTAACAGCCAGGTTTTGATTGTGCCCTACTTGCATTGTTTATCTAAAGCGTATCTTACCGACTTCACTGTCGTTGGCAAGTGTTTTGTTTTTTTTGGTCCTGTTCATTTTTAGCAGGGGGCTGGAAAGAAAGACAACGTTTTTTGTGCTACCATAACAAGGGTTGGAAAGTTTTGTTCCCCTGTAGATACCCACCCAAAAAGAGTCATCAAACAACCAACACAATGAACCACCCTTCCCCCCCCAAAAAAAAACATCAAACAACAACACCATGGAACTGGTTGGTCCTTTGAACTTGAAACGTGCCTTTGAAAAGCACCAACCGCATCGCCCCCACCCTCCCCTCCCCCCCCCCCCTCGCAGGAGCATCCTCCGCGAGAGAGGTCTGCTTCGACGAGGCGGATGGCTTGGGGAGGTTCCAACTTGGTGTTTGGGTGGTACTCATAGGTGTCCTTTTTGGTTGCGTTGGTCGAAACATCCATGGCGATTCCTGGTTTACCTGGTGGTTGCATCACCTACCAGGGAAGCCCATCTATGTGCCGCAAAAGGACGCCTATGGTTGTACTCCTTTTTTCTCCTGGTGTGATGGGGGATGAGAGATCAGAACTCAGGAGTTGGTCCCTGAAAGGAAACCACCAGCAAGGGATGGTTTTTCTCAGGGTCAGACTCCAATTCTCATTCCCGATCGCCTCTCTCGCACCGATCGCAAGTTTCGCGCCTCACGCGCCTCTGGGCTCAAACTTGTGCTCCTTCTGACCCTTAAAGCATGGGTCCATGACTTCGTGATTTTGGGTCACCCCCCCCCCCCACCTGAAATTTTAAGGGTCGGAAGGAGAGTCCACCCCCAAAACAGCGCCCCCTTTCCCACCGACACAAAGAAATCATATTTACTCCCGGGCTTCTATTTTTGGCGCCATTGCGTCCCTGGGTCTCTGGTTGCAACTTGCCCGCCCGTTTTACATTCTTCTTTTTTGCCGCGGAGGTTCCTGGGTACCCGTCCCTTCACTGCAGCTGGTTTTCGGTCGCTTCGGCTTTCCGATGTTTCGGTTCGGCGGCCTATGCCATGGGATCCATTTCGCCCGCACCCCGAAGAAAGAAAGCCTCGCAGGAGGTGCAGGTCGAGAGCGAGGCCGGGACTGAGGCCGACCCTCCACCCATTCTCTAGGATCCTTCTCTTACGGCAGCCTGGGACGTCGGTATCGAAAGAGAATGGGGAAATCAAGGCTTAGACCCTGAAGCCATCCTTGGGATGGTTTTGGGTGGGTCTGCTTGGAGCGTGGTTTTTGGGGCGAGGGCCAAAGCGCCCTTGAGTTCTTGAAGGGGGTGGGGGTGGGGGGTCGGGGGGGGGGGTCGCCAACCACATCGGTTGACCAGTTTAGTTGGGTTGTTCAATATACATCTGCAAAATATTGAAGCCAAATCCCTTGTTGTTTGCGGATTGCGGATCAGGGATCCCCCCCGTTTGAACAACTCAGTCCGGATGCACTGGGCAAGGAAGGGACCAGTTGATCATCCAAAAGACAACATCTTGGGAAAGCCCGACCGTTTTTCACGAGTTCAGTGGTCCCGATTGACCAAGCCCCACCCCGCGCGGCAGCTTCTGCCAGGCGCAACTCCAGCGTCGCCTGCAGCAGGCAGAGAAGGAGCTGATGAACCGGAGAGCGGAGGGAGCAGTGGCTTTGACGTACCATAAAATGCCCAATACTTTGTATATGTGTATATATATATATATATACAACATAACATATATTTGTATGTGTATTTGTTTTGCCTTGTTGGTTTTAAAAGGAATGTATCACTACTGGAAATATCTTTATTTTTCCCAGGGGTCTTAACCAAATGGAAGAATGCGTTGAGCAAGCTTGTTTCAACAACCAGACACTTGTTCCCTTCAAAAAGGGAAACCCAAGGGAGGCTGTAAAATCACATAGGTTCAGACGTGGGTTTTTCAAGGGCTTGGCCCAACCGCGTCGATGCTTGCCGGTTGTTGGACGCTCAAAAGCGGCGATCGTTTCATTGGATCAGATCAGTAAAGATTAATCAACTTTTGTTTTGGGGTCTAGGTCGGAGCCCCGTGTTTTTTGTTGGGGGGGGGGACCTGTTTTTGTTTTGCTTTAGAGCCTTCGGGAGATCCCTGACTATGACTATGAATTCAGTTTGGACAAATATGGGCGTGTCTTTTGTAAGGTTGGACCCTCAAACAATTGTTGTTTTCCTTTGGTTGTCCTTTAAAAGACCCAAAAACTGGTACCCCCATAAGGACAACATATATAGTCTATAGTATTTCTCGAGCCTTTCTGAGCTTCTTCAGCTTCTACTGGGATTTGGTGGCCAGAACATCTCAGTTGTATCTTGGCAAAGCTGATGTTTGTCTTTGTTTTTGTTGTTTGGTCTCTCTCGCTCTCTCTCTCTCTCTTTGTCTCTTTCTTGCTGAACCAATTTGCATGCGCTTTACTCACTTCCTGAGTTCATGAACTTTAAACTTTTTGGGAAGACCATTTGAGTGGTAAATCTAAAGTTTGAACTTTTTGGGCCATCCACTCAGCCAGTGAGTTTACAACTATTTTGTGCCAGCACACTTTGCTCTCGCGATCTTTGGGTACCGCCCTGGTTGGAGTCGTATGTGTGACGGGGCCCCGGCTCAGGCATACGGGCAATCTGGTTCAGTGGCACACTGGTGCTTGCCGGTCCGTTGGGCATGGGGCGGATTTTCTGGGGTCTCAGGCAAAGATAGTGGGGCATGGGCGAAAATTACATCACCCGAAAACCGCAGGTTTTAGTCGTTGTTTCCATTCACCGATCGGGCAACCCATTTTGGGGTTCTACTTTTGACCCACATCCACTTGGCTGTGGGTCAAAAATAGGTACCCAAAATGGAACCCTGAATGGAACCAAAGACTAAAACCTGCGGTCGCCTGGTGATTAATTGCGGTCGCCTGGTGATTAATTTTGACCCACATCCACTTGGCTGTGGGTCAAAAATAGGTACCCAAAATGGATGAATGGAACCAAAGACTAAAACCTGCGGTCGCCTGGTGATTAATTGCGGTCGCCTGGTGATTAATTTTGACCCACATCCACTTGGCTGTGGGTCAAAAATAGGTACCCAAAATGGAACCCTGAATTGAACCAAAGACTAAAACCTGCGGTCGCCTGGTGATTAATTGCGGTCGCCTGGTGATTAATTTTGACCCACATCCACTTGGCTGTGGGTCAAAAATAGGTACCCAAAATGGAACCCTGAATTGAACCAAAGACTAAAACCTGCGGTCGCCTGGTGATTAATTGCGGTCGCCTGGTGATTAATTTTGACCCACATCCACTTGGCTGTGGGTCAAAAATAGGTACCCAAAATGGAACCCTGAATGGAACCAAAGACTAAATCCTGCGGTCGCCTTGTGGAAACATGTTTGACCCACATCCACTTAAAATCTTTAAGGGTCTCATGAAACAGGTTGGAGCTTGAACTTTTGAGGAAGAACAAAGCAGCGGCAAACTTTGGACGCGTCGTTGGTTTTGTTTTTGCGGGCCAGGCGACAGGGGGATTTAGAACTACTTCTAGGTCCCCCAGCCAGGTGCCAACTTTTTAACCCCCTTTTCGGAGGGTTTTCCCCTACTAAAATAGACTACAGAAAAAGTTGGTACCAACTTATTCCAGCCTCTCTGGAGGACCTAGACTTAGGTGGTTGGCAATCCTTGCTAGGGGACTTGCAACTGTGGTAGGTGAGGTATAACGCCGACCCCGGATCAATCAACCCCGGCAAAGTGTTCCCTGTGATGAATCCCCACCTTCACCAGCGACACCCCCAATTATTGGTGTCTTCGGTATTTGTGTTTTTAGTTGGTTTCGTGGCAGCCTTTTCACTCAACTCTACGTGTTCGACTTTTAGCAGGATCGAATTTGGGAACAGCCCAGTCTTTTTCGAACAACTTGGTCTATTCCTCCGAGGTTCCCATCCCCACCCCACACACCCCACAAAGAAAAACAGAAAGGAGGCTTCGGCTTTCCTTGGTTTTCCATTAAACCCGCCCAACCATTGAACCCCCCAAAGCTCGTGGCCCTCGGTCGGGCGCTCGCTTCAGGAGCGGAACCTGGCAGAAGCGCAGGTCGCCAAGGCTGAGGCGGGGGGTCTCGCGAGGGAACCCAGGGACCTTAGGTACGCGTTTTTTTTTGTTTCCCCCCCCCCCCCTTTTTTGCGGGGGGGGGGGGGTCGTGGTTGCGGGCAGGGGGGATGGTGTTTTGCTTTTGCTTTTGGGGGAGGGAGGGAGGGAGGGAGGGAGGGAGGGAGGGAGGGAGGGAGGGAGGGAGGGAGGGAGGGAGGGTTCTGTGTGTTTGATTGACCTTTACGCCATCTATGACGGTGCCTAGTTTTCGGGTGGGTTTAAAGGTAATCCGACGGAAAGAACACATGTGGGGGTCCAACACCCTGTTTTGACACATGCTCATTTTGTTCGGATTCAGTTTCATGGGCTACATGATTAGCGGCGTTCTTCTCTAGTGAATCATCAATATGACTTTTGGTTGGTTTTAAGGTACCCTACCCCATCCTGATGATTTAGGCCTTTAGGCCCTCTGATTATTTGGAGGAAACAGACTGCCTTGTTGTTCAAGTTGGCTGCTCCCCAACAAGTTCTTGATGGACAAAGTCCACTTCGCGCCAGTTGCGTAGATCAGCCATCCTAGGCAGACTGTGCTGTTGTTGGTTGCCTTGATTGTTTGATTTGTTGCTCTTGTTTGTCGAAAATTGGAACCAAGCAAAGTTTGAGCAGTTTGCTGACCTGCTACTAGGTGTGGTAGCCTAGTGGCAGTCTATTTCAGCCGCGCAGTGTTTAAACCTGACTCATACGCATAGGGAGTATAGCCGTGGGCCCGCAGTGTATCAGGGAGCTACTGACTTTGCAAGCACGCTTCTGGCAGAGAGCTCTTTGCAAGACTTTGAGGGGTCAGCTCCTGCTTGAGTTTGGCTTGGCATCCCGTGGAGAAAAACGCCATGTGCCTCCCATCCGGGGATCCTTTTGCGAATCAGAGGGAACTGAGAAATCAACCTGATTTGACTTTTTTCAGTTTTGGTCCATGTTTAGCCCATTGGTCAAAGTCTAAAAGGTGATCACCCTTTATTTCTGGGTCGTTTGCGCAACTGAGAACAAGCGTGGGGCATGTAGAGTGTTCGAAAGAACATGTAACAAGCCACTCCCAGTGCATCGCAACTCGATGCGGACTCAAGTCACCGGGTAATTTGTATGAGAAGGTTGTTGAGCCCTTTCGTTGGTTTTCAGCAATTTTGGACACTTGAGCCTCGCTCAGAAGATTCATCAATTTGGTTTGCTTCCTTCTTCAGCGTGCTGCTTGGAACTTGTTTTTTCATTTCCCAGAGAAATGCGGTTGGTAGGGTGTTGTTTTTTTCTTTTTCCGGAAATGTCCACTTTGGCTATGTCCGACCCTTGTTTTCCCCTCAAGGGGAGATAAACCACCAAGCGGGCCAGATCTGTTTGATTTTTGTTGCGGAGGACAAGAAGACAAATGGAAGGTCTTTTGTAGATTTGGGTTTTCTTGACTGCTATTGGGTTGGTTCTTTAGACATTAACTTTTGGGAAATCAAGCGGTTTTCCACAGCAACCAAGATTTGTGGAGATTCAAGTCCACCAATCAGTTGTAGGTGTCTCAAAGGACAGCTCACCTATTGGTGAGCAAAAGCCTCGGTCACCCCATGCAAATCTGGCGAGATGTCCTCATTCAAGTCGGTGGAATCACCCTGAAATGGATTTGTCCCAAAGTTAAGGAACACCCCCTCCCAAAGTAGTTGGTACACACCTGCCTGATGTTCGCAAGCGTAGGGTTCAATGGCAAACCAAAAGAGAGCTATTGTTTGACCAAATTTAGCACACACACCCCAAACACCTGCCCGATTTTTGCAAGCATGTGGTTCAAAGGAAACCCAAAGAGAAACTTTGGTGCATTTTGCTTGGATGTCAGGACTTTAACTTTTTGTCAACTAGTGGGTTTTTATTAAACCACTAAAAGTTAGTCACTTTTGGCAGGGGAGCAGAAAGCAACCGAGGAAAAGCCAGCCATTGTTTTTAGGGCCTACTTTTGGCACCTAGCCACTGGCTTCGGTAGTTTCGAGAAGCTCCTGGCCTCATTGCCAGGAGGCTTCCCGACACTGGGGCCAGCACCTCGCCTCGGAGGCAAGGGGACTGGCCTTGAGGGCGCCTTGGACGTCTTTCCGGTTTGGGGGGGTTTCTTTTTCTAGGAACCCAACTAGGATCAAAAGGGGCGACATCGTCATAGAGAAGTGGAGCTAGTGGTGTTCCTTTCCTAGGCCCCCCAAGGCGGACGCTATGTCTCGTGGGTTTTCGCGGAATACTTCTGTCGCAGGGCTCCAAATTGGCAGATACGCCTGCCAGGGCTTGGGCGTGAGTCTCACTGTCCTTTATTAATTTATCGAACTTTTAGATGTGGAAGTTCCTTGGAAGGCCAGACGAGGCAGAAAGTCCAACAACTTGATGAAATGGTTGGGACCCATGATTTGGGTGTGGGGGAGAGATACTTCCTTGTTGCAATTCATAGCAAAATCGCAAAGCTAAGCCACCCAAGGCATTTGGCTGGGTGTGTTGCTTGCCTTCCTCACTGTTTTTTGACATTTGCCTTCATATTTTGAGAGCAGAGGCCGCATGGTACCTCCAGCGGCGCGGCTTTCCACTTTGGATTGTCCTTACTTGTTTCTTTGGTCGCGCGGAACAAGAGTCCCCCACAGGGATTATGATTGCATATTATTAGTGTGGCTCTACAGTGGCAGCTCCCCGCAAGCTTGGCCATGCTTGGTGGACTTTGCAGCTAGGTTTAGATGGAAGCACGAGCGCCTCTCAGGAGAGGAATCAACAGAGTTTTTTAGTCTAAAGCCGCACTTGGGTCTTTTCTTGATGGAACCTTGTATTTTTTGGAGGTTGTACAGGGAAACAAAAGGGACACCAACCAAGTCTAAGGGTCCGATTCCTGTTTTGAGAAGCCTTTTTGGCTTGTTTCTTCCAGTCGTGGACAGGTGATTTGCTTCCTTGGTACCGATCCAAACTTGACCCTTGCGTCCTCATGTTTGCCCTTTCAAGGGCTTGCTTGGCCATGTTCCCCTTGCGAACTCTCAACTTGCCAAAGGTCATTGGCCACCGAAACTTTGCCCCCTGTGCAACTGTTCTCAGAGAAGGTTGGGGGAGATACCAACTTGGGGCCTGTCTTGAAACCCAAGAGAACACCACATAGATATGTATATTTATCTATGCTAGGTCCCCCAGTAGTGCCCTTGAACCAACTTCTGTTGGGGGCAAAAATAGACGAACCTGAAAAAGTTGGTACCAACTGATTCTAACCTCCCTACTCAAACACCTCACCTAGTCAAGGTCAAAAGCTTTGAGCAAGTGAGTTGTTGAGGAGGATCCCCCGAAAGACACCCAAATTGATGCCTGAGCGCAGGCCCTGCGCTTGGGCAGCACCTGGTCCGAGCTCCGGGACTCCCAACAGGCCGCCGATGGCCAGGCCCCGGCGTGTGTGCGTATGGTGGGGTGGGGTGGGGTGGGGGGTGGGGTGGGGGGTGGGGTGGGGTGGGGGGTGGGGTGGGGGGTGGGGTGGGGGGGTGGGGGGGTGGGGGTGGGGGTGGGTGGGGTGTGGGGTGGGGTGGGGTGGGGGGCGGGGTGGGGGTGGGGTGGGGTGGGTGGGTGGGGTGGGGTGGGGTGGGGTGGGGTGGGGTGGGTGGGGTGGGGTGGGGTGGGGTGGGTGTGGGGTGGGGTGGGGTGGGGTGGGGTGGGGGGTGGGGTGGTGGGGTGGGGTAGGGTAGGGTAGGGTGGGGTGGGGTGGGGTGGGGTGGGGTGGGGGAGGGTAGGGTAGGGTGGGGTGGGGGTGGTGGGGTGGGGTAGGGTAGGGTAGGGTGGGGTGGGGAGGGTAGGGTAGGGTGGGCTGGGCTGGGCTGGGCTGGGCTGGGCTGGGCTGGGCTGGGGTGGTGGGGGTGGGGTGGTGGGGTGGGGTGGGGTAGGTGGGGTGGGGTTGGCTGGGCTGGCTGGGCTGGGCAGGGCGGGTCAGGGGTGGGGTGGGGTGGGGTGGGTGGGTGGGGTAAGGTAGCTGGATGGGTATGGGGTGGGTTGGGTGGGAGGGTAGGGTAGGGTAGGTGGGTAGGTAGGTGGGGTGGGGGTTGGGGTGGGGAGGGTAGGTAGGGAATGGGTGGGGGGGGGGGGGGTGTGGGGTGGGTATGGTAGGAGGGGTGGGGTTGGGGGGGGGGGGTGGGGTGGGTGGGGTGGGGTAGGGTAGGGTAGGGTGGGGTGCTGGGCTGGGCTGGGCTGGGGTGGTGGGGGTGGGGTGGGTGGGGTGGGGTGGGGTAGGAGGGTAGGGTAGGGTGGGGTGGGGTGGGCTGGGCTGGGCTGGGCTGGGCTGGGGTGGGGTGGGGTGGGGTGGGGGGGGGGTGGGGTGGGTGGGGTGGGGTAGGGTAGGGTAGGGTGGGGTGGGGTGGGCTGGGTGG